AAGCCAAAATCTTGCGGATCCAATGGATCCGGATCCGGATCCTAAGCACTGGTTAAAATGTTTCTTTAGCTACGGTTCTTTGTCCTTATTCTGTTATCACACATATTATTCATTTTGCTTGCCTTGATAAGAAAAAAAAACGATAAGTTTTGTGATATTACAATTCAGTCAAAGATTACACCTGTATGTGAACTCAACCACTTTATACAACTTCCTTTACATCCTGCCCCCTCACTTTACATCCCGCCCCCTCACTTTACATCCTGCCCCCTCACTTTACATCCCGCCCCCCTTAACCCTATACCTGGGGCAGTGCGGGGGGGAGTTCTTATCAATGTTTATTGTTCCATATCTTCTCCCTTTATTGCTGTGTAAACAGGAAAGGGTATGATATGACGTGACAAATTGGACAGGAAAGGTAAACCAGGTCTAGTCAGGACATAACCTTAAAGGACATAACTCCACAGGACATAACCTTATAGGATATAAACTTACAGGACATAACCTTACAGGACATAACCTTACAGGACATAACTCGACAGGACATAACTCGACAGGACATAACCTGACAGGGCGTTACCTGACAGGTTATAACCTTACAGGACATAACCTTGCATGACGTCACCTTACAGGACATAAATTTACAGGACGAAACCTTACAGGACATAACCTTACAGGACATAACCTTACAGGACATAATCTTACAGGAAATAACCTTACGGGACATAGCCTTACAGGAAATAACCTTACAGGACATAACCTTACAGGACACAACCTTACAGGACACAATCTTACAGGGCATAAACTTAGAGGACATAACCTTACAGGACATAACCTTACAGGACATAACCTTGCAGGACGTAACCTACAGGACATAACCTTACAGGATATATCCTTAAGGGACATAACCTTACAGGACATATCCTTACAGGATATATCCTTAATGGAAATACATGACAGGACATACACGACAGAACATACACGACAGGACTTACACTACAGGACATACACGTTAGGAAATAACCTTACAGGACACAACCTTACAGGACACAACCTTACAGGACACAACCTTACAGGACACAACCTTACAGTGCATAACCTTAGAGGACATAACCTTACAGGACATAACCTTGCAGGACATAACCTTGCAGGACGTAACCTACAGGACATAACCTTACAGGATATATCCTTAATGGACATAACCTTACAGGACATATCCTTACAGGATATATCCTTAATGGACATACATGACAGGACATACACGACAGAACATACACGACAGGACTTACACTACAGGACATACACGTTAGGAAATAACCTTACAGGACACAACCTTACTGGACATAACCTTACAGGACATATCCTTACAGGATATATCCTTAATGGACCATGACAGGACATACACGACAGAACATACACGACAGGACTTACACTACAGGACATACACGTTAGGAAATAACCTTACAGGACACAACCTTACAGGGCATAACCTTAGAGGACATAACCTTACAGGACATAATCTTGCAGGACATAACCTTGCAGGACGTAACCTACAGGACATAACCTTACAGGATATATCCTTGATGGACATAACCTTACAGGATATATCCTTACAGGATATATCCTTAATGGACATACATGACAGGACATACACGACAGAACATACACGACAGGACTTACACTACAGGACATACACGCTAGGAAATAACCTTACAGGACACAACCTTACAGGGCATAACCTTAGAGGACATAACCTTACAAGACATAACCTTGCAGGACATAACCTTGCAGGACGTAACCTACAGGACATAACCTTACAGGATATATCCTTAATGGACATAACCTTACAGGATATATCCTTAATGGACATACATGACAGGACATACACGACAGAACATACACGACAGGACTTACACTACAGGACATACACGTTAGGACATAAACTTACGTGATAGAATATAGCGCCTGTCTAACCTATTTTACCATAATGTATCCTTCCTTCCATCTATCTATCCACCTTTAACAAATCACTTATCTACCTATCATTACCACCAATCTATATATATATATATATATATATATATATATATATATATATGTATCGATATCTATCTATCTCTCCATCTGCCTACGAATGAAGATTTAACAAATCAATTTCTATTCTGACAGCTATAGAAGCTTTATCTATCTATCTTTATATTTTTATACCCTCCGCATTACACACCTGTCTTGTATCTCTTTTTTTTGGGGAGGGGGATAGTTTAAGATTTTTAGAGAATTCTTTTTTCGGTTCGGAATATGTATCTTTCTGTCTGTCTACAGCTAAATGTGCTCAGTCCGATAACTATATCTGTAATCTGTTTGTCTGGTACATTTTATTTGTCTGTGCTCTGCTATCTGTGTGTCTATCTACAGCTATATGTATTCTAACATTACTGCAATAATCTTATCTGTCTGTGATCTCTGCTATCTGTGTGTCTGTTCACCGCTATCTGTTTTTGTCTGGTAGAGGTTGTATAATAATGAAGGTATTGGCCAAAGGAACATATTTAATCAGATTGCGCCTTTTTATTCAATATTTTATCAAATCATTATGGGAGGAGGGACCGTCAGGAGGGGGGGTGGTATTCTTAAACTTTACTTTAAAAAAAATTACTATTTGTAATTTGATATAAGAAGAGAATGGACTCTGTCCCCTTAGAGATTGGAATTCAAACTGCTGGCTTAGTTGAACTGTGTAGACTAAGTTTAACCACTTCTATTCAACTTGAACTGGCTGCACAAGAGTAGTGGTTCAACTTATTTTTCCTTATTCGATATGCTCTTTATGCTTTTAAGATTCCTGATTCCTGATTCCTGATTCCTAATTCCTGATTCCTGAATCCTAATTCCTGATTCCTGGTTCCTGATTCCTGATTCCTGATTCCTGATTCCTGATTTCTGATTCCTGATTCCTGATTCCTGATTCCTGATTCCTTATTCTTGATTCCTGATGCCTGATTCCTGATTCCTAATGCTAGGTGCCTGATACCGCATAATTTGGTTTTAATTTAACAGTTTTATGATGCCTTGTAATTTTGAGAAATAAATTTGATTACGACGAATTTGATTTCCAAGTATTAAATTAAAGACCAACAACCACCCCCCCCCNTGAAACATTTAATAAAGTTTCCCGAAAACTAACAAAAAAATTTTTTTGCGCTCTCCTCGAAAACCGGGAGCCGACCCTTAAACGGAAGTGTATTTTATGTATGCATAAAAATGGATTATGCCGGAAGGGGGGGAGGAGGGTCTAAACGTGATTCAGCATAATCAGAACAGTCAAAATATTAAGAAAACTTCAACATTAAATAGAATTACTGAGTTAGACCATAGTTGTCATTGTAGAATTTAAAACAGGAATTCATAGAATTATGTTATGAGTTTATCATTACTATTTATTGATACATTTGTTGTTATCATTGAAATTAAATTAAAAGATTAATTTAAGATAAATCTAGATAATTTTTAAATCGTTTGATTCGATTTAATTTAATCATCTTGGAAAAAATCGTTTTATACTTCCAAAATAATTATTAACTTGATTAAACATCTACTATTTTTTAAAGAGCCAAAACGATTCTTAACTTAAATTTGTAAATTCCATGTTAAAAAATCGAAGAAGAAAAATATCACTCCTTTTTGTTTTGATAACGTGAATAAGAATTTATGCGTTGGTAACAGGGAGTTCTTTCCCGCTTTAAAGCACCAAATACCATGATTATTTAGTTATCAGGATTCTTTAAAAAATATTCAAACTTTGCACAATTTTTCTTAGTTTTTTTAGTTTCGTTATGAAAAGTATTCCAGTGTGAAAAACGAGATATTTAAGATTGAAAACTTGTGATGACTACTTGTTAAATGTCACGTATCCTTTCTTGCAACCATCTGATGGGTTAAACCTCCAGTGCTTCGTAGTCGGTTGTAACTTCATAAGCTCTAAATATTATTTTTTGGGGGGTAAAAACAAAATTGAATAAAGCATAAAGGGGCAAGGCGGTCTACCCCCCCCCTCATCTTTACAAAAATATCCGCCTACGCCTTATTTGGTCCCTGTTTCAAGGATTGGAGCTGCTTATAAATTCTGAATTGAATAATAGAATATAAAAACTACACCAGGATTCAGATTACATCTAGCTTATTTCAGAATATATAATCAAAATGTAAGACAAGCCCATCCTAACACACACTCAGGGATCAAACACACTCACAAACTCACAAATACCACAATTGATTTAAATGGTGAGTTTTTTTAACTTAAAATTTCGTTTTAACTAATTTTTTAATTTAAAAACTGGCAATTATGACGTTTTGTTATAATTATACAGTGTGATCGTTTTTCTTTATATTTCTTGCTTGAACTTGCAGATAAAAACAAATATATTTCGTATAGTTTTTTTTTTTCAGATAAGTTTTTAAGCTTTTGACATTATAGAGCCATTTTTTTAATCGCGCAATTTCGGTGAAATCCCCCTTTAGAAAATGAAAGGGCACCTGGTGAGTGGCAAACTTGTCTGTGGGTTACACCTTCTTTATGCTAAACTGACTAGACTAGATGATTATGTAAATACTGGTATATTTTATATTTATAAGGAGTGGCAAAATTTACTCCTGGGGGGGGGGGTTACTTTGGTAGTCTTTACTCTCATATATTTATAAATGAGACATATATAATACTAGCTGAAGTGTTTGGCGTTGCCCGTGGAGTTTTTTTAATCGATTTTTTAAGCCTATGTTACCCCTAGTGTACCCATGGGTTTCCTAAAAAATTCAGCAAATTCGGTCCTACCGTTTGGCAAACCTTAGCTAACATATCCCGCCGCAATTCGGATCTACTCAAATATTTACATTCACCAAACAGAAGGGCACAGTTAAAACAGCACCTTGGCTTCCCATGCTCTCCTGGGCACTTCTGTTTAAATATGTTTAACAAATTTTGTTATTAATTTTATGGAACTATAGTGTATCATTATTACTCACTTCATCGTTAGTTTCATTATGAACGTGCTATAAAGTATTCATCGTGCTATAATGTTAAATTAGCTGTACATTATAGCACGTGTGCTAAAAAGTTTTAAGTGGTTCCCGGATTTTCTCCAAAAAATTTAGGATATTTCCAAAATATGTTATTCAATTCAAATGAAAATAAAGTTAAAATCAACTTTATATTTTGACTTCTGCTTTGTTTCAAAGCTTATTTGATCTAGAAACAGCCATTGAAATAAGACAAGTACACAAACGTTTCATAAAATTGCCTATATAGCACTATTATTTTGGCACGACGTGCTATAAAGTTTTTGGACTTCAATTTTCTCTATATCTCGAAGGTTCTCGCCTTTATAGATTATATTTTGTCCCTCGCTAAAGCTCGGGACAAAATTACATCTAAAAACGCTTAAAAACGTTCTCGATAAAGAGAAAATTTCTGTCCAAAAACTTTATAACTCTGCGAACTATAATAACAGCGTTATCAATAGTTAATAAGACCTGTCGAATAAATTTGATTTGATTTGATTTATATATATATATATATGAGCAGATCTCATCCTCGTATAATCCTCGTAAGTAATTAAGTGAAAAGCTTTATTATATAAATCAACACAAATTTACTTAAACATGTTGACCTATTTCTTTAGTTTTTTTGGCCAACCCTGTAGTTCTAGGGTTAATAATGGAAGAGGATAATCTTAATTACAAAATTGAAAGATCGTGTGCAGATTAGGCGGAAGAAAGGGATTTGGGTTGAAGAGGTGTGGATATTCCTCTTTTTACCTTGCAGCTTCTGATAATGTTTATAAAATATTCCTGTAAAAGTTGTACAATTATAAACTACAGTCATAATCAAAAAGAACTGGAATTAATTTACGGTTAATCAGGCGACTTTACATGCATCTCTGGCAATTTTAAATGCTCAAAAAGGGCAGTCTACATTTTGGAAATGAAATTTTGTGCAATTATCATTTTATCAATCATATTTGTAAAATTAGATTTAAAATCGTCTGATTAATTGTAAATTAATTTCGGGTCTTTCTGATTAGGACTTCAGAAGAATGTCAACTTTACACATGTGTTCGACATATATTTTTTGATTAAAGGATTCCTGGAAAAATCAATAAAACCCACTTTAAATACCCACCTGTAAGTGTGCTTTTTAGTGTTTTGTTGTTTTTTTAATCTTTAATTATTGCTTTTTCTTTGAAATCTTATCATGTATTCATTCTTCAAGAAATAAGGTCTACTATCAACTGTTGTGACTTTAGAAGTTCACAGCACTAAAACTGACGCTTTTATTCATTTCCTATGACTTAAACCAATATTCTTAACAAAATGAATATTGTTGAAATATTGAGTTATTATTGGTTTTAAATCAGACAAATCCAATTGTATAAAACTTTTGAAGCAATGGATCATCTGCAGTTCTTGTTTTTTTATAACAAGTATCAAGTATCAAAGATATTGAAAACCCCAAGAAGATAGACCTAACTATATCAGAGCTGTCGAAATATGCCGCGATAGAACAAGGATATAAAATTCATTTGAAGTTTTTCGGTATTTAACAGTGGTCTTCCTTCTTGAGCATATAAATACCTACCGATTAATCAGAGTAGAACTATGATATAAAAATTACAGTATTCCTCCCTGTGAATATTGTATTTGAAGAGTATTTATATGATTTTATTATTATTATTTTTCATAACTATAAAGTTCTCCCTATTGCTTAAATAGTCTTATTATTATGAACTAATATGAATTTTAGTAGGTTTTAACTTCTTTCAAATTGATAACCCCCAAAAAGACCATAAAAACCAAATAAAACAAAATAAGGCTCAATAAAACACAAGAAAGCACAAAAAAACCACTTGGCTGTTTTTTAAACCGGGTTTTTTTCCAACCCGGTATGGTGAATGATGAATGGTGAATGATGAATGGTGAATGATGAATGGTGAATGATGAATGATGAATGGTGAATGGTGAATGGTGAATGGTGAATGGTGAATGGTGATTGGTGAATGGTGAATGATGAATGATGAATGCTGAATGATGAATGGTGATGCCTTGAAACTTTTGATTTGAGGGACCCAGGTGTCATGTATGTGCTCGGCACTGTCTTAATTGTGTTGAACTATAAAATCTTGAAATTGATATTTACCATAGAAATATGAATGGACATAAAATCGACAGTACAGACTTTAATGACTCCCTAAAACTCTTAAACTACAACGAGCTAAATGTTGAATTTGTTCCAATATAGTTTGATAATGTTTTATGAAATGAGTTGACAAAGAAAAGAAACAAGTTTAAAGTTGCAGGGAACCATTTTTATAAATAAACAAATGCTGTATAGTCGTCTTTAGAGTTTTATCCTTTATGGGTAGCACTGTATGTTCTATATTTTAGATGAGCTGTCGAAATTAACAACATGCGTAAGCTAAGCATGCATCGGAGTGGTAAAGGGGGCGGGCCTAAGAAGGTTTCCCCGCCTAGTTTACCAGGCCATGAGGTTCCTCAGTACTATTTACCAGGGTACACTCTACCAGTAGCAGATACTGCAGACTTCCATTCATTGGACCAGTCATACGATAGTACACATAGTGAAGGTAAAGTACAATACAATAATACACATAGTGAAGGTAAAGTACAATACGATAGTACACATAGTGAAGGTAAAGTACAATACAATAACACACATAGTGAAGGTAAACTACAATACGATAGTACACATAGTGAAGGTAAAGTTCAATACGAAAGTACACATAGTGAAGGTAAGGTAAAGTACGATAGTACACATAATGAAGGTAAAGTACAATACAAAAGTACAGATAGTGAAGGTAAAGTACAATACAACAATACACATAGTGAAGGTAAAGTTCAATACAATAATACACATAGTGAAGGTAAAGTTCAATACGATAGTGCACGTAGTGAATGTAAAGTACAATAAGATAGTACACACAGTGAAGGTAAAGTACAATACAATAGTACCCAAAGGAAAGGTAAAGTGCAATACAATAGTACACATAATGAAGGTAAAGTTTAATAGAATCGTACAATGGTACACAACGTGGAAACAAAGTACAATAGTTCACATATTAAAGGTAAAATAGGACACGTAAAATATGTAAAATATATTATAGTACATATGACAAAGCTTAAATATACAATAGTAAACTTAAAAAGGTTAAATAAACCAACTAATACAAATACCTATCGTACAATTACAATAGTAAAAATTAAGTATAATATTATACATAAAGTAATGGAATTGGATAAGGAAAAGACCATTTTTATTTATTGTAAGTAATATTAAATACTTTATTATTTCAGGTATATACAGTACATTCGCCCAAGAGCCAATTTACAGACGTCCCAATAATGTTGGATTAAGAACATTTTCAAGTGAATCTGCTGTACAACATGTACAACATGTACAGCAAAGCAATCGACCAACCGAATTTAAAGAACCGTTTCCAATTAACTCTACCTGCTCCTCCTCCCCCTCGACCCCCCTATCCCCAGCACCACGGGGGAGTAGGTCAAGTATGTCCAGTGTGGACAGTGGATGGGCCTCCGCCCCCCTCGCCTTGTCCTCCTTCGGTACACGGGCCTCGAATAGTAGCCTTAATAGTGATAAAACTTCGAATTCCAGCGAAGAAGTTATGACCAGGGCACAGATCAAGCAAAGACGACTTTCTAGCATATCGAGCTCAGGTATAGAAATATATAACGTTCTGAACTGACTAGAAATGGCTTAGTTGTTTCTAAACTGACTGGTTAAAAGTTGGATTTATTGAGAAAGAACGTTTAGAATTTGAAACAATATGTTCATAATAAATCCAATTCTTTGATAAAATTATGTTAATAAACTAAACTAACTAAAGAGATGGTTTAGTTATTTCTAAGCTTGACTTAAGATGGTTTAGTTATTTTTAAACTTGACGGGAGATGGTTTAGTTAGTTCTTAACTAACTGGAGATGTATTTGCTGTTTCTTAACTGACTGACTTACGCATAATTTGTTCTTTTCAAAAATAAAATTTGCGGAAAACTGATAGCAAATTTCTGAAAATTGCAAAAAATACTCTTCTTTACTGACTGGAGTGGTCTGCAGATGGGTCTTAAGGCAACACTTCAACGTCCCATTTAATTATTCTTAACTGTTGATTCTATACATTTGGTGAAAATATAAACAAGATAACTTCATGTTAAACTATATTCAACTTCATTTTGTAGAATTGTACTACACGCATGTTACATGTTTTCATTTTCAATAATTTTTAACCAAGTTTAGATATTTTTGTACAAGATTTCCGCATTTTTATATTTTTATCTTTTCAGGGTCGATTGGTCTAAATAGTACCTTCACATATGGAACCAGTAATATGGTTCCCCCCTTCCCAAACTCCTTGGTTCCCTCAAGGAATATTCTTTAAATAATTTGTTTTAATTTTACCACTTTTTGGATTAATAATTCATATTTTTATCTTTTTTTAAATTTCTTTTGAGATTTTCAATCTATTCCAAAGTTTTAGTATCATATTTCGAATAAGTTTTGTGGGACCAGAAAGGAAAAGCTTAAAGTTTCCAATTTCACTGATAAAAGTGCAGCTATTAAATTTCTATTGTTTTTTTTGAAAGCCTATTTATTTTGCTTTCACACGTTGGATAAGGAAAGAGATTAAAAAAAGGCAGATTATTTTTTTTTTAGAAAATCATTCTCTTTCTTTAAACACAATATTGAAAATGTCGGGAACAGAAAAATATTACGTCTCAGTTTACTTTCAAATTGTGATTTAAAGGATTTTATTATGAAAACCAATTTGATTTAACTTATTCCCTCCATTGCATTATTCTTCTAGAAGTTTAAGAAACAGATTTTGAAAATATTTTTCTTAGACAAGATCCATCTCGTCAATCCTTGAGAACCTTCGGTAGCTCAGAGTCGGTTGGATCTCAGGGCTCAAGGCGTCCTTACTCCAGGTATTGTTGGATATCAGGGTTCGAGGCGTCCTTACTACAGGTATTGTTGGATATCAGGGCTCAAGGCGTCCTTACTCCAGGTATAGTTGCATATCAGGGCTCAAGACGTCCTTACTACAGGTATAGTTGGATATCAGGGTTCAAGGCGTCCTTACTACAGGTATAGTTGGATATCAGGGTTCAAGGCGTCCTTACTCCAGGTATTGTTGGATATCAGGGCTCAAGGCGTCCTTACTCCAGGTATGATTAGATATCAAGGTTCAAGGCGTCCTTACTCCAGGTATTGTTGGATATCAGGGCTCAAGGCGTCCTTACTCCAGGTATAGTTAGATATCAAGGTTCAAGGCGTCCTTACTACAGGTATTGTTGGATATCAGGGCTCAAGACGTCCTTACTACAGGTATTGTTGGATATCAGGGCTCAAGACGTCCTTACTACAGGTATTGTTGGATATCAGGGTTCAAGGCGTCCTTACTACAGGTATAGTTGGATATCAGGGTTCAAGGCGTCCTTACTCTAGGTATAGTTAGATATCAGGGTTCAAGGCGTCCTTACTCTAGGTATAGTTAGATATCAGGGTTCAAGGCGCCCTTGCTCTAGGTATAGTTGGATATCAGGGCTCAAGGTGTCCATATTACAGGTATTGTTGGATATCCGGGTTCAAGGCGTCCTTACTACAGGTATAGTTGGATATCAGGGCTCAAGGTGTCCTTACTCCAGGTATTGTTGGATATCAGGGTTCAAGGCGTCCTTACTACAGGTATAGTAGGATATCAGGGTTCGAGGCGTCCTTACTCCAGGTATTGTTGGATATCAGGGTTCGAGGCGTCCTTACTACAGGTATTGTTGGATATCAGGGTTCGAGGCGTCCTTACTACAGGTATTGTTGGATATCAGGGTTCGAGGCGTCCTTACTACAGGTATTGTTGGATATCAGGGTTTAAGGCGTCCTTACTTCAGGTATAGTTGGATATCAGGGCTCAAGGTGTCCTTACTACAGGTATTGTTGGATATCAGATTCAATTGTACAAACCTAGAAGCATTTTATTTTTTTACCTATTTCTACCTATAATACATTTCTTTCTATCTATCTATCTATATCTAGATCCTCCTCTACAACCTCGTCCTGCTCTACAGTGTCGAGCTCCTCGAGCCTGCTGAGGTCGAGTGAGACGGTTTCCTCTTTGGACTACTCTTCTATGATTCAACAAGGTGAACAGTGTGAACAGTGCTGTAAAACTAACCGTATTTAGAATAGGATTGAATAGTTCTAGATTTTCTATATCATATGATAATTTGATTAATAATCAAGAATTTCAGGAATTTATAATCAATATAATAAACCTCTTCGCTCATTTATATGTTAGCTTTAGCAGGACAAACGGCTGGACCAAATTGGCTGATATTTTTTTTAGGGAACCCATGGGTTAGAAAATTCATTTTTTTTATTATTCTACGGGCAACGCCGGTCATTTCAGCTAGTCTTCAATGAAACATAAATTTGCGACGTAATATCTGATAGTGGCTTGAGGGTTCTTCTGCCATAACTAATATAGAATAATATACTCGTTCCTGCTCAGTGTCATTAACACAGAACATTTTATAGATCCATCGAATAATTCATTCGTTAATTGGTTTTAGTGACTGGTTCATTGATTAATCTCTGACTTATCTATTGATTGATCCATTGTTTGATTCATTGAATGATCCATTGATTGATTAATCTTTTGATCCATTATATCCATTGATTAAAACATTAATTGAAACATTGTTTAATTCATTGATTGATCCGTTGTTTTAACCATGGATTGGTCAATTAATGGTTAATATATATATTTATTATTTACATTGATTAAAACATTAATTGAAACATTAAATAATCCATGATTGATCTCTTGGTTTAACCATTGATTGATCAATTGATTGATTAATATATCGATTATTATTTACATTGATAAAAACATTAATTGAAACATTTAATAATCCATGATTGATCTCTTGGTTTAACCATTGATTGATCAATTGATTGATTAATATATCGATTTATTATTTACATTGATTAAAACATTAATTGAAACATTTAATAACCCATGATTGATCCCTTGGTTTAACCAATGATTGCTTTAGGAGTGAGCAGTGAGGAGATCTTGAACTGCTGGTTATCTGAACTACGGTTCTCTGAGTACTATTCTTTGTTTGTATCTGCAGGATACGATATACAAACTATTACAAGGATGACACCAGAGGATCTTACTGCTATAGGTAGAAGAAGAAGAGGGAATAGGGGGAGTAGGAGTAGGAGTAGGAGTAGGAGTAGGAGGAGGATCAGAATGAGTAGAAGAGGAGTGGTTTTAAAGGATAAAAGTAGGGTTTAAAATTTGTCCACTTAAATTATCTAAGGGAACCCTTTCTAAAGCTGTTTAAGTTTTAAAATTATAAAAAAGGACCATTTAAGGGATTTAAAGGCGATTAAAGTTTTTATTAAATTGGAAAATTATCAGAACGAATTGAGGGAATTAGATCGACTTGGAGGTATTGTAGAAGGAATTAGAAAGAATTTTGGATTTGTATCAACTTGGCGGAATAGATTGACTTGGATGGACTGCATGGATGATGGGTAGAAGGTTTCGGTTTTAAAGTTTATTAGATGAATTAGAAGGATTGAAAATAGTAATATGATTATAAGGTTTTGATTAATACATGAATGGAAGGGATTTTCAGGATTTGTAGTCTTGGAAGAATTGGTAGGATTTGAACTTGAAGGATTGGTAGGATTAGTAGGATTGGTAGGTATTTTAGGACTGGGAGAATTGGTAGGATTGGTAGGATTTGTAAGACTGGTAGGATTGGTAGGTATTTTAGGATTGGTAGGATTTGCAGAATATAAGAAGAACTCTAAATAAATTGGGTAAAAATTAACAAATTTCAAGAAGAAAACTTTGCAACTAAGTTTTTAAGATAAAAGCACTTATTGTTCTAATTGGATGTAATGAAAAAACAAGAAAAAATACAAACAAAATGTCAAATTGTTTTTAGAATGTATTAATGTTGTCATGGCCTCTCTTATCTCTCAGTATTTTTGAATCCTTATCAGATAATGACAAGGGACAACTCAACAATACTCTTTTTGTGGTCAATAATAGAGCAGGGATCTAATTTTATTTTTTGGAGAGGTCGCTTAAACTACCTTCAACCGGTTCAAATCTTGATACATCGATTCAAATCCTCGTGAATCTTTAACTTTGACCGGTGATTCAGAATTTGAACCGGCAGTAGATAGTTCAAGGACCTCTCTCCAATTCAATAAATTCGGATTATGAATTTTTGTGTATGCAGGGATCAAGAAACCAAACCATCGGAAGAAGTTGAAGCAGAGTGCTGATGAACTAGGAGTCGGAGACGGTTTACCGGAGTTTATCCCCTCCTCCGTCCACCAGTTCCTTAATCTGCTGAGGTTAGAGGAGTACACCAGTGTCCTGGCGGACCAGGGGTACAGGGTCCTCGACCAACTTCTAAACATATCCATAGAGGACTTGGAGGACATTGGGTTCTTTAGGCTCGGGCATCAGAAGAGATTACTTCTTGGAATTAAAAAAGTGAAAGAACTAAAAAGATCCGGGAAAGGCGTTACAAACTTCAATATTGGTGGACAGGGCGGACAGGTGCAGAATCAGGGACATCTTCATTATTATCCTGAGCAGGTGGAATACCATAGTCTACCCCCTCTACCCCAGTCAAACAGATTCTCGTCTTTTCATCAACCATCTACACCCCTGGTTCATATTACAGAGGGGGAGATGTACACCCCTTCAGATGGTTTCCAGTATAGGAGGGATATGGAGTATAGAAGAAAGTTGGAGGGAGGTTTGGAGGTTCAACAATCCATGCCTAATCCAATGCCTCCAATAGAGCCTGTCTACAATCATCAGCAGCAAAGGTAGTTTTTTTTAGCACATTTTCATCGGATGAAAAGTTTGTCAAGAATTCGCCATTAAAAACAGAATTCGCCAAATTCGATATTGTTAATTTCATAATGGCTGTTGTAAATATAAAAGAGGGGTGCAAAACGCCTCAAACTTAAGATAAGTTTTTTTTAGTAGAATGTGTTAATTTATTTAAAATCAATATTTTATACTGCCCAAGTATTCAAAATATTCCTTCATATTTTATTTAAATAGTAATTTTATTAATTAGATTTGAGCGAAGTCAAAGTGAAGACCCCCGGCCCTCGGTTTGGCAAAGGTTTAGATCCTTCGATGATTCTGACCTTAGAAGAACGGGCGCGGAGCGTCCTTTTCAAACCGGAACTTTGCCGCGACCACGTGCTACGGTTAAACCACTTCCGGTCCCGCCTGTACAGCCTGAGTTTCCGGGTTCAAGCCCAGACAAGGCAGGAGAGACTAATGGGAAACATTTAGCTGTTGTTAGGAAACCTGATTTCTCCAGTACAGAAGAAGGTAAAAAAAAACATTTTAATACAATTATTAAACTATTCTAACATTTCTATAAATAAAATCAAAGTAGTTTTTCAATTTTGTGTGTAAATAATTACTTACAGATTTTTGCTACACCCAGTTGTAACATTGAAAATACATTGAGTTTCAATATCAATAAAGGATGACAATTGTTAATTGATAATTTTAAGCCATAATTATTATTGTTATTATTATCATTACTATTATTATTATTATTATTATGTTAATGTTGATTATCATTAGTATGTAAATATGTCAAATTATTAATGATTTTATATTAATTAAGGATTAACCTGTGATTCTGATCTACTGTTACCGTTTGCTAACGAGAGGGCTGGTACCATTAAGTACAAAACCAATCCAGGAACTGTTTTCAACCAGTTTAAGGTAAGTAGATTACGTTGAAAAATTGCAATTTAAAACCGATGGAAGAAAAACTCTATTTTTCAAGGATTTTTTTATAAACTCGTCAAGGCAACACTGAAATTATTATTGTTAAAAAGGAGTGAAAACATGATAAAATCTGTAACTTTAAAATACATCCTAGTCCGCTTTTTCTGCAGAGCTATGTCAAATCAAAACAACATGAATATGAATTGAATGATTCAATGTTTCCAGACTGAAATTAAACTGTTTTAGAACGAAACCCATGATGATGATGATGATGATGAGAATGAGGACAATGCAGAAGAAGTGAAACACCATGTTCATGTTGCAGACATTCATCTACCTCCAGCATTAAACACAATTCACCACGCTGGACCTCCATTTCACCATAACGCACCTCTCATTCACCATAATGGACCTCTTTTTCATCATAATGGACCTCCTTTTCATCATAATGGACCTCCTTTTCATCATAATGGACCTCATATTCACCATAATGGACCTGAAAGCCTATCCTTGGGCGAGAACCTTGTCTCCGGGTGTTCAGATCTCCAGGCTGAACACGTGAAGGTTGAGGAGGAGCCTAGTTCAGGTGAACAGACAGGCAGGCCGGGACTAAACCTTCTCCGAACTCCTACACGGAACCCGAATCGGTCTGCCGGTGATGTGCTGCAGGATATTGGGACAATGTTGGCTGATTTAACAGACGAACTGGACACAATGCTTAAGTTGGACAAGAGCTAGATTATTTCAAGAGAGTTATTTGCTAGACATGGTAGTTGAGGTGAAAGTGCAGTTTTGTAGAGAAAAACTTTAATGTGAATGAGACATTTTTACGATGTACAATTTTTAAATAAGAAAGTAAAGTCGTTTGTCATATTTCACAAGTTGTTTGAGTTAATTACCATGTCTAGCAAGTCACTCCCTTTAAGCCGATTTTTTTTCTGAAAAGGGGCTGTAATTGTAATTTCAAGTGACCTTTCACTTATAGAGGAACTGCTCGATTTACAACAGTAACCCTTAAACCTTGGACTGATCAACAATATCACTGCAAACGAAACAGAAGGAGAAGGTCAACTGTATGAAACCTTAATGGTACGAATTTGTTGCTTCTAAACTTTTTTTACGCTCTGTTAGCTTTCCAATAAGAGGGAAAATGAATAAAAACTTTAAGATTTAAATCTCGTACGAGGTTTTCAACAAATCTAACGTATATATTTCTTAAATATAAAACAGCGTATAAAATACACAGTATTCGACAAATACAAGAGTTTCAGTAAATAACTCAGGGAAAAGTCAATCACCAAAGAGTATAGAATATATGTTAGAGGGGAATTTACTAGAAAAAAGTGTAAAACGGCCATTTTGTCGTACTGTTTCCATACTGCCGGTGTACTTCACATATTTGCGCTATATAACCTTTTGGGCCCTGGAACATCATTTTATAGAAAATCTAACATCAATATTAAAAGAGAACCAAATTATGAAGTAGGCTGGTTTCATAATTGACCAATGAACATTTCACATAGACTCTATGCCTTTCACTTTACAAACGATGATTTTCCGTTATAAAAATAAATCAAATGATGTTTTATATTCACCTAATTAATTTTATAAAGTTTATTCAACAGCTTTAAAAAATTCGAAATTGAAATGGATAGTGTATAGGGAACATACTGTATTAATGTACTCTACTGCATATAATTTGTGAACCATTTACATGATTTGTACACTTTGAACTCCCTTTCAGGATAAAGGGGACTGACAAAATTCATACCGAGGGATTTTCTAAATTCCCCTCTAATATATATTCTATTCTCTTTGTCAATCACCTTTTGATCAGGTATAAAGGCAAATGGGTATTGTTGTGAATTCGAAACGTCACTCTAAAAATATCATTGAGATTTACACCTACAGCCTTCTTTTAACCAAGACAATAGTTCAGCTCCGTTGGTTAATGGCAACATTTATTTTTACCTTAAATGATACATCTTTAAAAACTGTTCAGATCAAGGAAGTTAAAAAGATTGAGACGTCAATGTAGGTTTTCAGCCTTTTTGACGTTTATTGGATACAAACAAACAAACAAACAAACAAAGAAAACCCGACAGGCATGCTAAATGGGAATATAGATGAAAGCAAATCTGACACAAACTATATATTTTATTCCCTAATTGAATAAACCCTTTGGAGATAATTAAATGTGTTATCTGTAGCTAAATATGTACTTTTAGTACACCATTGGATATACCAAATATTATCTTGTCAAGTAATACATTGTATAAAAGTATGCGTACCATTTGCTATTTGTAATGTTGACTATCTGAAAATTCGCAGATTTATTGTAAACAAAGACGACCTGAGAAACAAAACCTGAAAATTGAATTTTTTACATAATTGTTAATGTTCCGTCCATGGTAAATTTTTCTATAATATTATTAAATCCAAATATAAACGCACAAAGGGCAACTATTTGAGAACTATTACATAACTATCTATTATTTTAATAACTATACCTATTTTTTCTATTGGTGCTTAAAATCAGACTTAAATTTTGATAAAATGATTATTGTTAAACATGAGACTAAAAAGGTTTGAATGAAGTTGACCTAAATATAAACTAGGTTTTTTTTCAATCTACGTAAACAACCGAATTATGTTCCATTTCCTTGAAGCACATTTTTACTCCGTTCCATTGTTTTATATTTTTGTACTGATCAATTCGTTTTATGTTTATGTTATGTAATTGTATGTTTTTGGCAGCTGAAAATACTTTTGTAATTGTAGTCCAATAACACAAATAAACGTGGTATATTTGTAAACTTTTTATTGCTAAAATGATTAATTTGAACTTACCCTTATGTTAATTTTTGTTGTTGTTGAAATTACAGGAGCGTTTATACATTTTATAATTGTTATTAAATTGGTAGTTGGGACTACAAGAGGACGTACATGCTTTAAAGAAAACAAGAGCAACTGAAGGGCCTGGGGAAAGGGACAACAAAAATTTCCATTTCACATGAATAATTGTCTGGATTCAGTTCACTTAAGATCAAATTGAAATGCAACAAAACAAATAAAGCTTCGCTTACTCTCGGGTGTAGTATGAAAATAGTGGAGATGCGAGGTTGAAAAGTCATTCGAGATATTTTGTAATAGAGCAACGTTTATCTTATGTTGAGATTGGAGTGAAATATCAGAATTCCGTATCTTCTAAATCCTGCTTTATCTAACCATTTATTTCTTTAAAAAATTGTTAGACAATAATATTAATGCTTTTTCCAGCATAACTAAATACAATGGACTATAGATACAGGAGATTTTGGCAATATTGTTCAGACTTATATCCTAAAGCTTTTGATTTTTGTGAAATTTTACAAATGCGAGTACTAACATTTAAAAAAGCAGCAAATTTTTTTCTTCATTGTTTTATACTGTACAATGTACAAACTACAAAGAGAGAATGCTCACAGATAGAGCCACAGTTAAAAGCTAAATAGAGGATGGGTGGGAAGCGCCCTAAAAATCTAGAGTACGATTGCAACACTATATGTACATTAAAGGGAGTGTTCGCGAAAAATGAAAGGGGGTATAGGCATAATGCGATAAAAAAACCGCTTTTGATCGCTACAAATCTTACTTCTATCTGTTGCGTCTATAAGAAGAAAATTGTTAAAAACGACTAATACCGAATAACTTAGCGCCCATACAAATTGAGAAAATTGCAACATACGACTTAGACCATAAAAAATCAATTTAATTTCAAACAAATCATTTAGATATTACACCCTATAGCCATCGATTATCTTTCGCCACATTTGTATATAGTTTATATTCTATAATATTTTTAATTAATTTGTTTTGAATTTGATTATTTCTCTTGTGGCTTGCGCAACTATTTAAGAATGCCGCGGACCACTCACATTTTTCGAAATCAGTTAAAACGTTTTCTAAAAAAAAAAAATATTATAAAATATAAACTATATACAAATGTGGCGAAAGATAATCGATGACTATAGGTTGTAATATCTGAATGATTTGTTTGAAATTAAATTGATTTTTATACGGTCTAAGTCGGTATGTTGCAATTTTCTGAATTTGTATGGGCGCTAAGTTATTCGGTATGAGACGTCTTTAACAATTTTCTCCTTTTAGACGCAACAGATAGAAGTAAGATTAGTAGCGATCAAAGGCGCTTTATATCGCATTAAGCCTATACCCCCTTTCATTTTTCGCGAACACTCCCTTTAAATCCCGTTAATTAAATTCTTATTTATATACATAGGTCCATGTTAAACCAGCTCTTTATAAAGGATGGAATGTATTTTATTGTTAGAAAAACTAGAATGAATGCAAATTTTCCTTCACGATTCCCGAGCTGGGCTGGGGTTTATATTTCCATTTGGTTCTAATTTTTCTGTGAATAAATGATACAGAGTGTCCCACGAAACATGACTGTAGCAAGACGACTTGAAGGTCTTCTTTAATATCTGTAATAATTTGCTGAATTTATTTGTCAACCGAATTTTAGACGTAAAATTATGGAGTTAATAGATAATAATCGCAAAATACCCCAAGTCTTGGCATTTCCAAAATGTTGACTGCCTTTTTTGTGCTTTCAATTACCTGAAATTCTCAATATCTCCGGTAATATTGAAAGCACAAAAAATGCAGAGACCACATTTTGGAAATACCAGGACTAGGAGACTTTAAGGTTAACGTTTCAAGAATCATACATGTTAAAGTAGGTTGACGACTGAATGTCACAAACAAGTATAAAAATCAAAGACGACTTTCAAGTCGTCTTGCTACCGTCATGTTTCGTGGGACACCCTGTACATTAATACTTGAATTACTATGAATACAAGACCAAAGACCAAGTGTGTTACCAAAGTAAATAAAATCTAAAAGGGAAAAATTAAAATAGTGTCAATATTATAGAGCTTTTGGCTTTAAAGAGGCTGTAAAAAATCTACGAAGTCTTAAGCGAATTAAAATTCTTTTTCCTACAGTTTTCTTTTATGAAATAATGCATAATGTTGACCCTCACCAATTTTGATCCAAAACCAATCGTTAGCGATAATGAACGCTTTGAGGCTAATACAGTTAAACCTAAATATTAAATACATCGAAAGAATTTATCAAATGTCGTATTCTTCACTTTCTGATAATGGAATGTTGCAGATATTTAGGTTTTTAATTAAATGATTATATGGAGCTCTTTAAAACTGTTCCCGCATATTCAAAGCTATTTATTTATGTTCGCAAATACTGAGATATTTATGTAAAATAGTAAAAAATAATGAAAAATTGTCAAGACGACATTTGATAAGTTCTTTCGATGTATGCATTATTTAGGGTTTAATTGTATTTTCTAGTTCTACCAGAGTCTAGATTTTTCAAAGTGTAATAAGAGTTTACTTTTAGAGAAAACAATTTTGAATTATACTTTTGTAGAGCCTAAAGGAATTAAGTTTTGTCACAAACTCAGAATTTGTAATTTCTATTTCTTTGTAGCCCGATGTCGTAGACCTTTGATATTTCAAACTATGAATTATGTTAGTTCAATCAGTCAAAATTTGAAATATCAATGGTTTATTATATCTGGTTGCAAAGATATACGGTTTATTCTTATTTTAAACTTTGTTGCATGAACTTTTGGGTCAGTATTTAAACTAAATATCTGGCTTCCTTTTCTTTGGAAGGCTTCTATGCAATTGGTAGAGAAGAGACTTTTCAGCGCATTTATTACTCTTTTCACTCATTCACAAGAATTTGCGAGAAAAACAAGAATTTGCAAAAAAAAGATTATTTGCGTAAATATTTGGGTCGCACTATTAGCATTAAAAACTGGGAATAAGAGATAGTAAGATTTATGCACTGTAACACGAGAACCTAATATTCTCATCTTCTTTCAACAGAACATGTTTTCTATCAGAGCTTGTGCTAAAAGTCTAACTGCAGAACCTCTTGATGTCAAAATATATATAAAAATATAGTGAGTGTGATTTGTTATTATCTCAAGTTAGTGAAAGAATCGGATTTATTGAGCTCAAGACATCCTAAACAATAATTTTCTAGCTGATAACATAATTGATATAGGAATTAAGGCTTTGCTGCACAATCTCAAAATCTCAATGCCCTATATCTAGCTTAGTGCAATAGGTAGATTTGTTTTACAGAAACTTTTAAAATTTTTAGACTTTTCAAAAGTAGTGTTCAACGAATTAAAATTGCATGTTTGAAAAAGCAAAAGAAAACTTCTACAGCATAAATATTTAAAATGTTGGAACCTTCTCATATTATCGTAAAACCTTTTAAAAGTTTCTGTAAAACAAATCTGACTATTGCCCATCCCTATTTATATCTTTACAACTTGATGCTGTAAACTTTTCATATAAAAAAATTAAGATTCTATGATTTAATAGAATTCATAGTTTGAAATATCTAAGGTCTATGACATTGGGTTAAACAGAGAAAGGGATTAGAAAAGCAGAGTTTGTGGCAAAGAATCAATTCCTTAAGTAGTTTCAGAAGTAAACTCATCAACATGATTATCTGCTATACTCCACATGTGATGGATTACTGTTAAGTCCAATTCATTTCAAGATCTAAGACGACATCTAACCTGCTAGAGCGAGCTGTACAGTACACATTGCAGATTAAACCCGGCTAAACGGGACGGTACATCAAATGATCCAACCTCTTCTAGGGAAATTCTAGTTGGATAATGTAAATACTAGTATCCAAGTAAGACGTCACTTCTGTTGAACAGTGTAAAGTGTAGAAGTAGATATGCCTGCTATTGTTATTTAACTATGGGATCTCAGTTTACCTACTACAGCCAATACAATGAGCATTTAAATTCCAAGCGATTAGACCTAGTTAACGATCAAAATACGTGAAAGTGAACCTTGAATTGAGTGACCCACAAGGGGAAAGAGATTGGAAAATATATCCTTAATTCGAAGGTGAACATATTCAACTTACAATATATTACATAGCAATGACATAGGACATGCTTAAATAATTTTACAGGATCAAGATGAATGTATGTTCATCAAGATTTGCAGCAGTGGTCATCTTATGCACAAGTAAGTATTTAACTTTTTATATGATTTTACAAACTCAGTCATTTTAGAATAAAAGTCTGCAGTTGGACCTTTCAAAAGTTTTCTTTCAAGGGTGAAGTTTTCTTATTGCTTCCTTACAAACAATTTATCTGAAATATTTTCAAGATAGAATCCCTGAGATTTTGACTGATCACGTTAAAATTCATTCTGTGTTTACACATTTTTGAAAGTCTTTTATCCAAATCTTTTAAGATTGATTCTTAATAATGAATTTTAAGTTGTGTGAAAAATGTAAGAACTCTGACCTAGTTCCCTACCCAATACAATACAAAAGTGTTGCAAAAACATCTCTTACTTTTTTGAGAGACATATATTTAGACTGGCAGGGAACCATTTCATGCCCCCTCCCAATTTGAAGAGTTATCCTTTAATTGCATATTTATTGTTTCTAGATCTTGTGTTTACAATTCCAACTGTTCCGGATTTCTTGAATTTTGCTAATGCAGCTCTGCCCGCCCAACAATCAGCTGGCATTGGTTTGTAATTTCTTGTAACTTTAAAAGACTAAAAAATTACTTTTAATAATTTAGATCCAGCTGCATTAGCTCCAAACCCTGTTGATGGAATTTCAAATAGACCTGGATTCATATCAGTTTCCTCAAATAACCTCCCAGTAATTCCTAATCAAAGGAATATTTCAGCCCAAAGTCAAGGTCAACCAGTCTTAGCACAACAAGTTTCTGTTCAACCAACTCTTATGAATGAAACGTTGATTTCAAATACTTCATCTCTTCATGGGAAACTTCCATCCGGTCTCAATGTTTCTACGATGCAGAGTGTTAATTATGTTCCTGTCTCTGCAGCTGTAGTAGCTGCAAAATCTAGTGTTTCTGCAGCTCAAGTTGTTCCTGCCTCTGCTGCAGCTCCTCCTGTTTCACTCAGAGCCCTTGCAGCCTCTCCTATTGTACCTCTTGACATATCTCAAAAGTCTGCTATAGTTTCCCCTAAAGAACAACCATCAGCTGTTGCAGTTTCCCCTGTCTTATCAGGAGTGTCCTCTGCTACTCCCAAAGTCCCCCCAGCATCCCTAAAAGTTCCATCAGCTGCCCCCTTAGTTCCTCAAGTTTCTCCTGATGCTTCCCCAGAAGTTTCCTCAGCACTACCTGCAGTTCCTCAAGCTTCCCCTGAAGTTTCTTCAGCTTCTCCTGAAGTTCCCTCAGCTTCCCCACAAGCTCCTCTAGCTTCTCCTGAAGTTCCCTCAGCTTCTCCTGAAGTTCTTCCAGGTTCTCCTGAAGTTCTTCCAGCTTCTCCTGAAGTTCTTCCAGCTTCTCCTGAAGTTCCCTCAGCTTCTCCTGAACTTCCTCCAGCTTCACCTGAAGTTCCTCCAGCTTCTCCTGAAGTTCTTGGAGCTTCTCCTGAAGTTCCCTTAGCTTCTCCTGAACTTCCTCCAGCTTCACCTGAAATTCCTCCAGCTTCCCCAGAAGTTCCTCAAGCTAGTTCTGATGCTTCTCCAGCTTACCCTGTTGCTCATCCAGCTTCTCTTGCTGCTCCTCCAGCTGCTTCTCCTCCTGTTCCTCTTACTTCACCTGAATCTCCCCCAGTCTCCTCTCAACCTCCTTCTGGATTTCCTTCAGTTCCAGTGGTATCCTCTGCTGTTCCTTCAGCCTCCCCAGCCTCTCCTCAAACTATTCCCGTCTCCCAAGGAGAATCATTAATTTTGCCATTAGCAAATTCTGATGCTCCAGCAGTGGTATCTCCGGTATTCCCAAATATTCAAGTTGAATCTAAAGCTTTAGCTTTACCTGCAGGCTCTTCTGTAGTTCCTGTGAACCCTTCATTGCCCGGGTTTGTTCCAAAGGCACAAGTGAATCCTGATGATACCCAAATAAGTCCTATTGGAAAATCTGGACCTCTTCCTGGACCGCCAATTCTTCAACCAATAACACCATTAGCTCCTTCCTTCTTACAATCAAATTCATCTAGAATAAATGCATCACTGTCTAGAACCAACCAAAGTTTAATATCTACAGATGACAATCAAAATAACATAGGTTGGGAAGCAGCAAATACTACTCAAGCAAATGAATCTTCAGGTTTGCCAATACAAGAAACCTTTCCTCCCAATAATGGTTCAATATTAAATGGGGAACCTAGGCTTAGTGATTCCGATGAATTAAACCACTCCTTGCCATCTTTTAAGTTAAACAATAACACAAGTAAAGAGCCAGCTGCTGTGATAGTTGATCAAGATCCATACACAGGTCAACACACAAAAAAATAAAGAAAAAAAAGTTTTAGAACAAACAAACAATTTAATGAAACTTATTCCTTTATTAGACAGTAAAAAGACAAATCTTAAAAGCAAGAAGATGAAATTGTTTTTTACTGTCTTAGTTGTATAATCATATATCATTATTATAGCCAACCAGTCTCTTCCTTTAACTCTAAACTTGCCAGAAGCAGAACTTCATACAAATCAACCAGATGTAAGTTTAAAAAAGATAGTAAGTATTAACAAATAACCCTTAGATCTTGTTTAAAGATGCCATGACAAACTCTGGAAAAGGCAATCTACAGAAATACAAACTCTAGAAAGACAATGTCTGTAAAAACAGTCCAGAAATGAAACTCCCGGAAAAGACAATTTCTGTAATAAACAAACTTCTGAGGCTCTGCAGTCTACAAGGCAGGACCAGGGGTAGGACAAACTAGGGGGATAGCAGAGCGTTGCGGCTATGATAGACTAAAGCCAAGTGCTGGGATTAGAATATGCTAAGCGGCCAGCTATGCAGCAAACAAATCTAGAGTATGCCTTTTCAAGAGTTTGTATTTCCAGATTTTGTACTTCGGGAAATTGTCATCATGCCTTTACAGTATTAAGTATAAGTTTTTAACACTTACTTGTAGGGTCTGGACACTTCTATGAATGTTGAACTAGAAGATGGTATACAGGAAGAAGGATACCAAGATCGTCTGGCACAGAAAGCAGAACTGAGATCACAAATTCTTTCACTTTTGGATGATCTTGACAAAGCTATTCCAGAAAATATTTAACAAGTTCAATGAACAGAAAGTAGTGCTAATGCATCCAAATAAATTATTCGCATGAATTAAAATAAAACAGTCCTGAATAAATAGTAAAAATGTTTTGAGGTAAAAAAATGCTTTTTGACTGTCATTGACTGCTAAAAAACTACATATATAGTTTGATCATATTGCTTCTTGTCAACAAGAATGTTGTATGAATATACATTTTTAGGGTATATATATACTTTTATAGAAATATTTCAGTTGCAAATTACTAAAAAATCCTTATGCCTTTGTGACATTTCATTATCAAAAGAAAAAGAAGATTTCAATTTCACTGGTCTTTTTTCTCGCAATAAGTACCAATTGCTGAATATACAAAAATAGAGTATTATACTTTCATTTGCAATCTAACAAGGTTGCAATCAACTCAGTTGCAATCAACTCAGTTGCAATCAACTCAGTTGCAATCAACTTAGTTGCAATCAACTTAGTTGCAATCAAATTTTGCACACTCAGTCAGGGTTGAGACAACATCAGAGTTTGTGTTTGTCCAAAAGTCGAGTTAAGATTTGCTATATTATTTCTATAAAAAACACCACTGCTGTAACAGTTGCAAAAGCTTATATGAATAATGTTGTTCGTTTCTTGAAAGATGCATGAACTGTTAGACATTTCTTTGTATTTCTGTATCATATATACTTTGATAAATATTTATGTTCATTTAAATATATTCCTTAAAAATCTTATTTTGTATTCAAACTTGGTCAAGGTTAAGAAGGAAAATATGAGGTGCCGCAATAGAAAAATGTTGCATGTTACACATTGCAATACATTTGGTTGAAAATAATTTGATTGCCATTGCTGCTGATTGCAAATAATTTGATTGCAACCTATTTAAACTGAAAATGAAAGTGTTTCAAAAATATATACCAAGCCCTGATCACATTGGGACTCTTATAATAGACAGAAAATAGATGAAAATGAAAAACATGAGAAATAAAATTTATTAAATTGTAAATATCTAATTCTTTTCAGATTAAGGAGCTGCTTAAAGCACCACAATTGTTATACTAACTGATGTAAACAGCACAGAAATTAAAAAGCATAATCTGTCCAATACCACAGCTGCAAACTTCCAATCATTTATCATTTAGTCTTCTCGTCAGCTGTCATCTCATGTGCAGTAACTTCTTCAAGTATATCATTTCTCATTTCCTGCTGATATTCTGTATGGTCAATAAGAGTACAAGCTTTTAAAGATATCCGTATTTCTGGTTTGGGCAAACATATTAGCTTCGGAATCCATTTTAAGAACACCCTTTCAAACCATATCGGCATTTTTTGTGACTTGTGGTTAAAATTTATTATTATCACTGAAGCCAAAACACTGGTAAAGGTCATGAGGAGAATGCAGTTAAAATATGTTCCTAACAGGGATGTTTGAGTTGACGTCTTTGGAATATTCTCTGACACTGCAGTTTGGAATATAGTTAGGCAGAGTAGAGTTATTACGCTCAAGAGTAGTTTCTCTGTAGAATCTGTTGGAAGTGTAAAGACAAGAACAGCTAGTGATGAAAAAAGTAAGCATGGTAAAAGAATACTACAATATATAGTACAGACTTCTGCGCTGTAGACTGATTGTGAAAGTAATGTCTTGATAGGGTTCATGACAGCAATCATAATATTTCTCATTTCGTTTAGCAGTTGCTTCTAATAACTTCCATTCTTGATTACTGATATAACTGCTGACATCAACTTGTTCATCTTTAAGTTGTATATCTAGAAGGAAACCATTATAAGTCCAGCTTCCAATCTTCAAGTCACACAGCTGCTTGTCAAATTGAAACCCTGTGATGTCAGCTTTACAAGAAGATCTAAATATAGCAGGAGGAATATAGTTAATCTTACCATCGGAGTAAACCACTGCCATAGTTTGGTAGGTTAAGCCTAATTTGTCATCTGCACTATTGTATTGCTTGAGATCAGGGATCCAGATGAGTGAGGAATCAATCCTAAGACTTGTCATATCACCAAATTCTGATGAATTCCATCTGAGGTTCTCATCCGTTCATGCAAAATTCAACCAAGAATTTGTTGTCAAAATTTGTTTTGTCTCATCTAAATCTAAAATCTGTTGAAGGTTGAGTCCAATGTGTACCTGAACTAAATCAGACTCATTCAACACAGGCCTTTCCAGCTTGTTATATCTTTTCAACAATGTTTTCAAAAGCCTTCGCTCTTGTGTTCCACTCTTTACAAAGCCCGGAAACATAATCATTCCTATGTAAACAAATATGTTAAACCAACATGTTAAAAACATACTGGTCAGTTTATATATCAAGCGTTGAATGCAAACTGAGAATGAACTGTCAAGTCAGTTTAAATTAGAATAAATCATAAATGCTCTAAGAGGATTGATGGTGTCACAGATTTGTAAAAATATGTCTGAGAAAAAGAAAAATCTGCCAAAAGCTTTGTTTATTGCAGCTAACGATGAAAAATGTTGACTTGAAAAGCTGAAACGGTTACTAGGGTTACAGGACATAGTATGGATATAATTCATTTAATTATTTCTTTAAACACTGTTTTTCAGAAAAACTTTGATCTATTCATTCAAAATGTATACTGTCACTTTAATATTTATTTAATATTTAATATTTGTGACTCTTGAGCATTAAATTGCTTTTAGGGGGGGGGGGGGTACCTAATGTTGTCATGCATTCATAATATTATTTTTCCAGATATACACCATAAAAATATTACATTTATCATAATTTTCTCTTTTTCAAAATATGTAATTTTATTTTTGTGCTTTTTACAAAAATTTTTGATGTTTTATGATTTTATTGCTTTATTTAATTAGACAAGGAAGCTATATCGGTCACATGAGGTTGCGGTCTTAGTGGTCGTAGTAAATATGTATATAATAAATATATATGTATATATATATGAAAATATGTATATAATAAAAGTCATTAAATGTTGAAAGAAATGCAGTTGTGTTCCAAGGTTGATTGAACCCAGCCAGCAAAGATTACAGTTTCTTTCACATTCCGAACGGTTGTCAAAAAAAGAATAAGACCTTGAAGATGGCTGACCGGGGTTTTTTTCAGTATTTTTCTCTGAAATTTCTGGTACCCTAACAGTTATCCACTTGTTTTTATCGTTACCAAATCAATTAAAATACCGTTTAACACTTCAATAAGAACAACATTCCAAAATCATCGAAGATTTTTAGGTCGTCATTAAAATGTCATCCTTTGTGGCTAACTCTGTTCGCTTCTGATTTCTGATACTCTACAGGGTGTCCCAATTAACATGGGAATTCAGTGACGAATTCGATATCGTCTTTTCAAATAATTCTTTGATTTTGTATAGTAATACCAACTGAGAAAGCTGTAATCTGTAAGAGTTTCGTCTGCTATGTTCACATTTTGTTTGTTTATGTTTTGACTACATACGGTTGCACTAAGTAGAACAAGAAAATTGCAGTTTACAAACATAGTAAACTTGTCCGTCTTCACTGTTTATCTTGCGGAGACATTAAATACACATCTTTACAGTCGTTTACCCTTTTCATAAAATAAACTCTAGCAGACATAATAATATTATGGCTTTTAAAATTAGGTATTACAATGCTAATACATTACAAAGACGATATCCGATTCGTCACTGAATTCCCATGATTTTTGGGACACCCTGTATATTCCAATATTTACTTGTGTAAAGGTCACATAGTAAACTTTATATTGAAAAATATTTGCGAAGAATATATTATTAAAAAGTTCTCAAATACTTTTGACATTTTAAAGTTTTCCATTGAAACTACAGGACAGCAGGTCAAAAGATTCATTTTTAAACAAATCCTTAATAAAAAAGTTTAAACATTGTGTTTTGATATAAAAAACAGAATATAATTTGCAAAAAAAAAATTTTTTGTGTTATTTTATTAAAATTATCTAATTGAAAAAAAAATTTATTTTTGAATAATTGTGATCTATCAAATATCAATTCAAATCTTCAAAATCTTACAAAGTTACGACATGTGCCAAAACGTGTCTCGCCTATGTGGTTTTGAGACATTTACTCAAATTCATATCAATGTCAAGAATCAATTCTTAAGCATTTACGCACCTTCATAACAAAAAATTTTTTTGAAAAGGTAAAATCTACACAAAATAAAAATTTAAACATATTATTTTTTTAATCATAGAATCATTACTCACTGAGCTATTTATTTATGCTTAAAAATAAAATGTGAAAACTTAGATTCTTTCAATTATTCTGAAGTTAATACTTTATCGTTTCTTTATCAGAGAATTTTTGTTTTCAGTGATTTATCAAGGAAATTATGGAAGTGATTATTTTGATACGGACTAAACAGGAAAGTGGGGTTTGTTTAAAACGCGACAATGTTTCCAATTGGGGGGATATGTTTGAAAATGACAAAACTGGAATTGTATTGTCTTAAACGGTCTAGAGTTTTTTCTCTTAAAGAAGTCCTTTTTTAATTTTGATCTGAGAAAATAATTTAATTATGGGAATTGACATTAATTATTAAACGGTTATTAAATGTTGGTTAACATGTTTAATATCTATATTTAAGCTCAGAATCCTAAAAATCCAATCTTTAAATGTGTACCCGTTTTGAATCTAATGTCCACTGTATTATGAACAAAATGTTGTTTTTCTTTCACTGAATATAATCTAAAAATCGACTAAATGTAGAGCATGGATAAATTAAACCAGTCTGGATAATTTGATGCAAAGTACAAAGAAGACGACAATTGTTGGATTCTTGAAAACTAATTTGTATTGTATTGTATTGTATTGTATTGTAATGTATTATATTGTATTGTATTGTATTGTATTGCATTGTATTGTACTATATTGTATTGTATTGTATTGTATTGTATTGTATTGTATTGTATATTGTATTGTATTGTATTGTATTGTATTGTATTATATTGTATTGTATTGTATTGTATTGTATTGTATTGTATTTTGTAAGTATTTTATTGCTTTGTTTGTATCGTATTGTATTGTATTGTATTGTATTGTATTGTATTGTATTGTATTGTATTGTATTGTATTGTATTGTATTGTATTGTATTGTATTGTATTTTATTGTATTGTATTGTAAGTATTTTATTGCTTTGTTTGTATCGTATTGTATTGCATTGTATTGTATTGTATTGTATTGTATTGTATCGTATTGTATTGCACTGTATTTATTTCTATAGCATATCCATTCCTAATGTAATTGATAAAACAAAATTTGAAAAAATATATAGTTGTTAATGCCTTCATATTTGCTCTAAATCATATTTGCTCTAAATCATATTTGCTCTAAATCATATTTGCTCTGAATCATGTCAAAAGCCAGGATTTTTAACCTCAAAATTTTAGTCAAATTTTTAGTTCCTAAAATAGTATATTTGTTTCGTAGAATCGTCCAGAGGTAATCGTCCACTTTCAGCCCCACGAAACAACCTATAAAGTCTAAACTTCATTCATAATTTATGAATTTTTTATATCGCAACATTAAATAAACCCTGTGGTGGCCCCCTTTATGTATAAAATTCTTTCTTTTTAACATTAGCTTAATGTTACATAAATTGAAGGTAGTTAAGGTATTAATATTTCATATTTTCAAAATAACGATTTGAATTGATTTATATATAATTTTTGAAAGTAGATGTAGGGTAGATGTGAATGTTTAAGAAAAATTTCATTTCATACGTTCACGGTGGCCCCTGCCAGGGGCGGATACAGGGGGGGGGGGCAGATTTCAGAATAGCTCCTCAGTAGCACTTAAGGGATAGATAACCTAATGCAAAACAGGAAAAATATCTATCTTTAAAAAATTGTGTTCCTAAATCTGGATGTTTTTGTTCCGAAATAATCTAGCACATGCTTTTTGTTTGTTTGTTCAATTGTGGTCTTTAACCTAGTTAGACTAGTTTGAAATATCAAAAATATTAGATGGGAGTTTTTTTCCTAGTTGTATTAATCAGTTGTTTTTAATTAGGCTCTTCAGCACTTTGTCAAATGGCATAATGCCTAATCTTTTATAAGAGGTATCTTTGGGGGAAAAATTTAGGAATTCATAAATCAGATAAATGGTCTTTGATAAGAGATATGTGAAATTGTATCATGCAACTATACACTGCTAAAATTCCAATAGTTCTGTAAACATAGAGAATTGTGAATTTTATTTCTTGCTCCACTCGACAAATAAGTTTAATCCATAAAGGCAGAAAATCTATAAATAACGTTGCCAAAAACGTTTTGTATGATGTATAGTGATTTCAGTTTGCTTTAAAGTATAGACAAGAGGTGGGAATTCTTGTATTGTTGATATCGAGATTAATAATATCTCGATCTTTTGTTAATCTACAGATTAATTTAATCTTTATTCGATATCTTAACGAGATGAAGTGAAAAACGTGAAAAGCCAGTCAGAAGCTAAGAAATTTTGCGTTCAAAATAATGAGGAAACAGAGAAAGTAAGGATATCCAAAATTTAAAAATCAAGCAGATTCAAAGTGCCCATAGTGGATATCAAAATTAATCGGTAGGAGTTATGGATATCCACCACTAAAGATCCCAGCTATGGTTATAAATATATTCTGATCGATTCAAAATCTGAATTTCTTTCATTCAAGATTTAAGATGTCAGTTCCAGGAAGTATGTTAGCGCTTAGGAAGACGACACCAGGAGTTGGATATACTCTAGCCAGGTCATTGATAATAATAACAATAACGATTATTATGATGATAATAATGATAATGACCTAGGCTCTGTTTCCTAGCCCCCTCCCCCCCCCACCCGAGGCACTCCTGCAGCGCTGCATGGGCTTTTTTTTGTATATTAAATATTTGATATTATTTTATATATTTGAATATTTTTATTATTATTCATAAAATGTTTATTCAATATCCATTATATGATCCTAACCATCGTTATTATTTTTTCTTTTAGTGAAAAAGTCCCAACCCCACTTGAGGACGAGGTAAGCCATGTTTATCCTAAGATCTGAAAAAATAGGTTAGATTAGAAAATAAATTATAAATAAATTTTTTCTTCATATAATGTGGGGGGAGGAGAAGCTTCAATCAATGTCTGTACTCATTTGAATATTTTAATTTAATTTGAATTAAGACGAAAAAAATCCGCCAAATTAGATACAAACATAAAATTACTATTGTACAGGTACTGCTTGAGATAGAGAAAGTGGCAATCTGTGGATCCGATATTGCACTGTACAATTGGACCAAGGTGGCACAGGTAGCATTATGTACAATTTACAATCTAGCATTATGTACAATTTACAATACGACAGGGTTAGTAGCATAAAACAATAAAACCATTAGTTGTTTAAATAGTACATTTCATGATAAAAAGCGACGATGATTAGATTTTTATTTCTGATTTAGACTATATGATAGGGAAACATTCCTTTTTTGCAACGTCAATATCGAAATCTTTTCTGGATACAGTGATAACCAGAAAACAAAGGAATAGGAAGACGACATTGTAGCAACACTTACGTGTATTTGATGTTGTTACAAAATAAAAAGATTTACTAGACACTTATATAACCTATAATTAAATGAAATAGGTCTGTTTACACTGCACAAATGACGTGTCTCTTGCTCATCGGACTTCGTCTTCCTATTTTAGAGTTTTCTGGTTTTCATTGTAGAACGGAATTTTTCTAATTTTAAAGTTTTCAGGTGATAGCAAACATACCATTCATTCCTGGACATGAAGCCGTGGGAACAGTTGTAGCCAGGGGAACTGGTTGTACTGTAAATATTGGTACAAGGTATAGTACACCATAGAGAGCTAGTTGTATTGTAGATATTGGTACAAGGTATAGTACAGTATTAGGAGCTGGTTGTACTGTAGATATTGGTACAAGGTATAGTACACCATAGAGAGCTAATTGTACTGTAGACATTGCTTAAAGGTATAGTACACTATTGGGAACTGGTTGTACTGTAGATATTGGTACAAGGTATAGTACACCATAGAGAGCTAGTTGTACTGTAGATATTGCTAAAAGGTATAGTACACCATAGAGAGCTAGTTGTACTGTAGATATTGCTAAAAGGTATAGTACACTATTGGGAACTGGCTGTACTGTAGAAATTGGCACAAGGTATAGAACACTATTGGGAACTGGCTGTACTGTAGATATTGGCACAAGGTATAGAACACTATTGGGAACTGGTTGTACTGTAGATATTGGCACAAGGTATAGAACACTATTGGGAACTGGTTGTACTGTAGATATTGCTACAAAGTAGAGTACACTTTAGAGAGCTAATTGTGCTGTAGATATAGGTACAAGGTTTAGTACAGTATTATGAGCTGGTTGTACTGTAGATAATGGTACAAGGTAGAGTACACTATAGGGAGCTGGTTGTACTGTAGGTATTGGTTCAAGGAAGAGTACACTATAGGTAGGGTTGTTAGCGTTTTTGAAAATGATCGAAAAAATTATGTTTTTTTTCTTAAAACGATCGTTTCGTTTTTTGAAAAAACGAACGTTTTTGAAAACGAACCACTTGTTTTAAATGTTCAAAAACGAAAAGCTATCGTTTTTTTAAAACAGACGTTTTTTTAAAAAACAATATTTTTTTTAACGAAAAGCTATCGTTTTTTTAAACGGACGTTTTTAAAAAAAACGTTATTTTTTTTTTAACGAAAAACTATCATTTTTAAAAACTAAATTATCAATGCATTTATATATTTAATATAGTTTTTGCTGACATTGTTAAGGGTGTGTGTTGAAAACCATTTTTACTGTGGAACTTGCTACACTTGTAAGGAAGGAAGAGGAGATATTTGCGCTAAAATGGATCAGTAGGATATTTTTTTAATTCTTAAAAGGAGTGTCTGGCTAGTCACTCATAGTTGTTGAGCTCAGAATACTGCATTGTAAAGAATTTTTTTAGAAATTATTTGACACAGCTATAAGACGTTTATATGGTGTATAGTTATTCAGAAAGATTCGAAATTCATTCATTAAAATACTCCTGGATTGTCCAACCCAACAGGCAGGCATGCAGCGCCACTAACTGGGCCACCAACAGCCGGACAGGTGTGCCATGCCCGGAATGTTGTAGGGCGGCACACCTGCTCACCTGGTCCTTACAATACTGCATTCTCAGCTCAACTAGCCAGACACTCCCTTTCATCACAATCTTTATAAGAGTTTAATTTGAAAAAGGTTAATTAAGGATAACTTAAAACAAAATCAAATAGTTGAATGATAAACTTACATGAACAAATATATAATATTGAGTATTGTATTGTATTGTATAAACAAAATCAAATAGTTGAATGATAAACTTACATGAACAAATATATAATATTGATTTTTTTTAATGGTATTGTCGACCTAATTTTAGATGATCCTTTATCATGTCGATATATCTGTATATTATATATACTTATGTACAATGTACATGGCTACTTAAAAAGGATGAGACTTTCCAAGAAAGAAGAAGGTTTACACCTGCAGGAATCCAAAAGTCAACTATGAAGTCTTATCCTTTTTGTGCAAGTAACCCCTCAGCAATTTCGATAGGCATCTTTGTTGAAAAAGGTCACTAGCTTCTTGCCAGGTAGGTAGAGATTGTCATTTTTAACAATGCACTAGGTATAGATTGTCTTTTTTAACAGTGCACTAGGTAGAGATTATAATTTTTAACAGTTCACTAGGTATAGATTGTCTGTTTTTACAGTGCACCAGGTAGAGATCATCATTTTTACCATGGTGCCGTACAGGTACGGGCACGGACGGGGTACAGAGCACGGTGGATTCTCTGAGTACAGTATAGTAAAGGAACGGTTCTGTTATGTTCTGAAGCATGGACTCTCACCCCTCCAGGTGGTCATAATCATATGTTATCATATTTTATCATATTTAATCATATTGAATTACATTTTATCATAGAAATTAAGATATTACAACTTATGTACAGGGTTGCCTACAAAAGTTGAGACTTAAACGACTTAATTGATATGGTAAATCATATGCTAAATAATATTCTGAATGACAGTCTAAATGATATACTAAATGATATACTAAATATTATGCTAAATGGTTTGCTAAATGATATGCTAAATGATATTCTAAATGATATGATAAATGGTATGCTAAATAATATGCTAAATGATAGTCTAAATAATATGCTAAATGATATTCTAAATGATATGCTAAATGATATGATACATAATATGCTAAATGATATGCTAAATAATATGCTAAATGATATGCTAAATGATTAAAAAAATAATATACTAAATGATATGCTAGATGATATGCTAAATGATATGCTAAATGACATGCTAAATGATATGCTAAATGATATGATAAATAATATGCTAAATGATATGCTAAATAGTATGCTAAATGATATGCTAAATGATATGCTAAATGATATGCTAAATGATATGCAAAATGATATGCTAAATGATATGTTAAATATGAGAAACTGCAGGTTAAAGTTGCAATTAGAACCAAGACTGAACAAAAAGTCTGCATAAATTCTGTACAGTCGTTTTGAAGTCCCTTTGTTGGTTACCCTGCAGTAACATTACTTGTAAGATAAACACTGATCATAATAAATATAAATTTTAAATTTTTAAATTTAATAGGATTCCTTCAAAATCAATTGAATGACTCTAGTTTAAAGTTGAAACCATAAACTGCAAATGCAGGATTCACTATAACCGCAAAAAGTTTCAACAACTTTTCATTTCTCAAACATCTGAAGTAAAAAGAATAAATAAAATAGATTTGAATTAAATTTTAAGCTTAGTAAAATGGGTTTTATTTTGCCTTTCGTTTCTTAATCAAACTACCAAAAAGAAACTACAAAAATATGGACAGTGTACAATTACATCTCAATCTCGCAACATTTTATGTCGTAATAATGGAACAAGATTGTGCAATTTCAAAATACTTTCTGAGCTAAAAACTTTAGAATGTGGATATCGAGATCAATGCTTGATCCTCTCTTTTGATTAATCTCAGGATTAAATAAAGCTTTATCCTCTCTTTTTATGAATCTCAGGATTAAATAATGCTTGTCCTCCTCTCGTTATTAATCTCCAGATTAATTAACCGATTGGGATTAAGGATCTAAAGTTTTCAGAGCTCAAAACTTTAGAATGTGATATCCTTAATCCCGATCTGTTAATTAATCTGGAGATTAAATTCATGAGGAACACAAGCAATATTTAATCTGGAGATTAAGAAAAAGAGTGGATCAAGCATTAATCCTGATATCCACCATTCTAAAGTTCCCAGCTCAGCTCTGTTTGTTCATTCTTCTCATAATTCTTCTCATAAACTTTATTAAACGACACACGAGTACTAAAATATACGAAATAATTGAATCAAAAATACAATAAAATATTTTCATAAGTTATACAACGATTATAATTAACATAGTAGAACATATTGTTAAATCAGGCTGTTTTGTTGGAACCAATGGGGGTCGCACATAATGGAGTTGAGAATATAGATGTAAAAAACCAGGTAATAGTTTTAAAGGAATTGAATGGACCACATGGTATTGAAGGTATTGAATGGACCACATGGTATTGAAGGAATTGAATGGATCACATGGTATTGAAGGTATTGAATGGACCAGTTATTGAAGTATTAAATGGACCATGGTATTGAAGGTATTGAATGGACCATGGCATTGAAGGTATTGAATGGACCAGGTATCGAAGTATAAAATGGACCATGGTATTGAAGGTATTGAATGGACCATGGTATTGAAGGTATTAACTGGACCATGGTATTGAAGGTATTGAATGGACCATGGTATTGAAGATTATATTTCAAGGTACAGTACAATACAACATTTTTTACATTAAATCAGGATTTAAATATATTTCAGGATGTTTTAATTCTGGGAGCAGGACCTATCGGTCTTCTTGCTATATCGATATCAAAAGCTTTAGGTAAAAGAAGCCTAATCAACAACCGGTTAGCCTGGAGTCGGTTGTATACTAAGGTTGCTTAAACTCTCGATGCGCTCCAATGTACAAAAAATGTCGTCTCCTTGGCATAAATAGATAAAATCCTCGTATGATGTCACTCCCACTTCTAGAAGCAGTGCCGTCATTTGAGGATTTTATCAGTATGCTTAGGAGGCAACATTTTTGTACATTATAACCTTGGCTGGGGTGATCTCCTAAATTATCTTAAATACAATGAACATTAAAAGGCAAGAAATTGAAATAATTAGTACATTACTTATAAAAAGTATAGTACACTACCATATAAAATTGATATTGGTGTTAAAATTTTTATATTTTTCATCTTTTTTTTCCTTTTTAAATGAAATATACATATTTTTGAGAATATGTGTTTCAAATCTTTCCCTAAACTCTAAGACCCCACAATCAGACTTTATTCGGGTGAAACTATAAATCACTTTTACACCCTCTTCCAGTTTTAGGATTTTAACATTTAAAGTTGTATTTAAAGCCTGTGGCAAAAGAAGCAGTGTGCATATTTTCATCTTACGCTAAAAATGTAGTTTGCTTTTAAAACCAATTGAAGTTCAAAGCAATGGCGTATGCAGAAATAAATCTAAGGTTTTGCCAGATATACGCAAAGCGCAAAATTTGTTTTCCCTGCCATCTTGCCCCACCCCCTTCACAAATCTATGGGGAGGCACTGCCACCTCGCCCTCCCTTCACAGGTTTAGGGGGTGATTTTAAATAGTCCTACAAACATGAAATACTGCAATTGTGCAATGAACACAGACCCATTTAACCATAATAAGGGATTCTCAAGGTATACTAGTCAAATTATTTGATTTGCAATAACATCAAGTTCACTTAAAGATTACAATTTTATGTTATCTTTTTATTCCACAATTTTCTGGTTCTCACTGTGCAAGTCTGATTCACATTTTTGTCACAAACTCAATTCTTCTAATCCCAATAACTTGATGAAGTAAAAATTTGATATTTCGAACTTTGATTATTTATTAAACAAAATTTAAAGTTTGAAATATCAATGGACTCAGTTTTTTATTGTTTAGCTTTTATTCCTTTTGTATTATCGAGAAAGAAGGAGACAAAGATTTGAGGAGTACTTTGTGAGTGAGACATGCCAATTATAAACAGAGTTTCTCTTTAAAATACGTTTGTTAAGGTTGCAGAAGAGTGTTGGTGGCAGATATTAATCAAACCAGGCTGGACCTTGCTGTTAACATGGGTGCAGATATTACAATAGGGAAGCACCGTCTGCTACATATATTTTTTTAAGTTATTTTTTCATGGAAGATTTCAAATTAGGTTTATGATTGTATATTTTTAGACTCCTTGAGGGAAAATTTGCATGCACGTGTTATGGAACTCACAGGTAAAGTTTTTGCCCTTATCCGCAATTTTGAATTTTGTATGCCACAGCACATTCTTGATATAGATGGAGTTGGCATCAGTCGTCTGGTGGAGGCGACAGGAGCGCCATCTATAGTCAACAACTGCTTCTCTCTTCTAAGAAAAGGGGCCAAGCTTGTGCTCATAGGTGCCAATTTACAATATTTTGACTAATGTCCTTGTCAGAAGTTCCACAGTAATTATAGGTTTAAATTCATTGTGATATAAATAAAGATATAGTCTTAATTTTAATTTTTTTTTTTTTAATTTAGGGCTTCCAAAATCAGCCATTCATATTGAAGACCCGCTTCAGAATGTTATTTTCAAGGTAACTCAACTTAATTAAAACAAAATTTATTCGAAATAAAAAATGTATAATGGGATAGGTTTCAGTTAATTGAACTTGTTTTGTGTGTTTTCCTTTCAGTACTACAAGATTACCCACAAAGATTAAGAATGTAAAGACGACCGTAAACTCTTAAAATATGATGATTCCAAGGTTGTACTAAGTTTGCTGCCTTGAATATGGTCGTCTCATGGTTTGTTTAACGATGTTTGGCAAGAAACGAAACAAGTTTACAGTGGCTGGATGGAGTTGAGGAAACAGAAAGTATAAATTTCGTACAGTCTCCTTTGATGTCTCAACCTTTGTGGGTAACCCAGTATGTTCTTCTTCTCTTGGAACATATTTTAACACGGAAGGTTTCTTGTTACAGAAACATTGGACAGGAATATAAAGATAAAAATTCCAATTTAAATAGATATATCACATACGAATATATATATACACACAAACAAAAAAAAGTAAAAAATTGTCGATATGTTGGACAAATTTTTTTATTTTTGTTTTGTTAGGATTTCGGGCACAAAAAAATAAAATGTGATAACAAATTTTAAATTATAAAATGATAAAAAATTTTTGGGACATTTAAAAAAAAGCAAAACCAATTTAATTTTGAAAATGAAATTTTTGAAAAATTGTTGGGAAAATGTTTATTCTATTATTTTCCAAAATTTCATAAAATTCATCAAAAATAAAATAAAATATAACAAAAAATTCGAAAAAAAAATGTAAATTGGAAATCACAAAATGTTGTCAAATTATAACCTTAGAACTAGCTGTTATGACTTCAAAACAAAAATGCAAATATTGGATAACATTTTTGAAACAATTTTTCGCGGATTTTTTTCAACGTTCCAAAAAAATTTATGAATATTTTTTTAACATTTTACATTTATTATGCCTTATTTCCGAACAAGACAAAAAATTTTCAAAATTTTGTTTAAAGCATCGATAATCCCGGTTTTTTTTAACTTACCCTGTATATATTTTCATGTAGATACATTGCATGATAAGATAAACAAATATCTGTTGAAGATGAAGTCTGGTTGTGTTTAAAGTTGATAATACAGGGTTAGACACAAAGAATAAGACTTAAGAGATTATTGTACGGAACTTGTTCAATCATATCATCTTGTCTCTTTTTAAGTCCTATACTTGCCTGTTTTTCAAGGCACCAAATTCACCCTTCGGATAGTTATATTGAAAGAGTTTCTTGTCGTTATTATAAATTCTTATGTTTTGAGATTAAATGGACTGTAAGCGTAATTTCAAGTGACGTTTCATTAATAGAATGGCATGTCCGATTTACAACGACACCCTTTATACCTTTGTTTGATCAAGGATTTGGTAGATATTCTTATTTATGTAACAGGAAATTAAGTTCCAAGAAACCGCGCGAGTGTACTCTAGTACGGAGAGTACAGCAGGGAGTGTACGGAGCCCGAAATTTAAAAGAGCATCGTTGAACGAAACTCTCGAGTTTACTATATAGATGAGGATATCGTTGTCCTAACAAAGGTTTAAAGGGTACTGTTGTGAATCGGGCATGCCTCTGTATTAATGGAATGCTATGTAAAATTATGCTTACAGTCCCTTTAATCCTGTATTTGTACTGTGTAGTCCCTTTAATCCTGTATTTGTACTGTGTAGTCCCTTTAACCCTGTATTTGTACTGTGTAGTCCCTTTAATCCTGTATTTGTACTGTGTAGTCCCTTTAATCCTGTATTTGTACTGTGTAGTCCCTTTAATCCTGTATTTGTACTGTGTAGTCCCTTTAATCCTGTATTTGTACAGTGTAGTCCCTTTAACCCTGTATTTGTACTGTGTAGTCCCTGACGCTTGTGACAGTGCATGGACGAAGAATATTTGATACTTGGGAGAAATGTGAAGAACTCATCAGTACAGGACAGGTGGGAACTGGGAACTGGTTACCACAAAAAAAATTAAATGATCGGTTTAAATTTTTCTGATTACTTTATTTTTTCAACCTGATGGTGAAAAAAGAGTTCATAGTTTGAAATATCAAAGCTTGACAGTTTTGGGTTGCATAGATATAGGGATTAAAAAGTAAGAGTTTGCGGCCAAAATTTAGTTTCTTTAGAAATATTTTATTCAAAGAATTCGGATAAATAGAGAGGAAACGTTTAAACCGATCATATTATTTTTTTGTTGTAACTCAGATTATCCCAGATTAGGTTTATGGCTAGTCAAAATTAAGATTTGTCAAAACTTTAGGAGATCCCATATTAAAAAAATAACAGTAGGATTTATGCAATTTTTGATAAAATTATATGAAAATGGTTGCCTTGATCGACCTAAAACTTAATAGAGCCAATTACAAAAATAAGCGGCGCAAAGCACCATAAATAAACCAATCTGTCCTACAGGGTTGTGTAGTAATGTATGTATTCATATTTCCCTAGATATAATATATTGCAGGGTTTAGATACATAGTTACATATAAACGCATTTCCTACGGGCAGCCGTAGTACCTTTGAATTTCCGAGCCGGGTCAACCTTTCCGGTCCCAGATTGCTTTGTATCGCCCGGACATTGGTGAAATGAAGCAGACGCTCAATACGACTAGCCGGTGCAACAAGGTTGACGTGGTCAGACTTCAGGTTGAATTTACTTTTACTGAAGGGTCAGGGGTGCGTGCGCTATGGAACTGCAGAAAACAATAGAATTATTGAATTATATTTCTTTATGTAACAAAATATAAAAAAGAAGTTCGTATTTAGAACTTATTTAGTTTTTAGAATGTGTCACAAATATTTCAGAGATTCATCAGATATAAAAAGTTAGAAATTACAAAATCTAAGTTAAAAGAAAGAATGAAGATGACAATTATTCAAATGCTTTCTGGTTCCTTTCAAAACTATCTCTTTATCTAAAAAGACTTTTCAGAAAATTGAAAGACTTTCCTATTGCAAAATCTTTACTACAAAAACATCCTATAAATTGAAATTTATTAAAATTTTAGAAGTTTTTCAAGGTGCTAAACATTGTGTTAGAGCAAAAAAAAACTAGAGTTTGACACCCCTCCCCCAAACTGAAACCAGTCTAGTGTAGTCGGTCTCTTCCTTTAAGATTAATAATAAATTACATATTTCAAAATAATAATAATATTCATTATTCCAACAAATTAATTAAACATACAACCAATAATAACATGAAATTTAAACAAAAATCAATAAAAAATCATGTTACTGTAAAACACAAAAAAACATTTAATGTCTCAACAGCTTTGGCATCTAATTAAATTAAGAAAACTATTCCATATAAAACAAGATTAATCATTGATTATTTATTTTTAATCATTAGTACTAATCACTAATCATTAATCATTAACCAGTAATCAGTAATCAGTAATCAGTTATCAGTTATCAATTATCAGTAATCAGTAATCAGTTATCAGTAATCAATAATCAGTCATCAGTAATCAGTAATCAGTAATCAGTCATCAGTCATCAGTAATCAGTAATCAGTAATCAGTCATCAGTAATCAGTCATCAGTAATCAGTCATCAGTAATTAGTAATCAGTAATTATTAATCATTTATCATCAATCCATCATTTTGAAAAAGAAAAATCATTTCTAAAATTATCAGATATTTTATAAATACTTTTTCAAAAATATAAAAGAAAGAAATTAATGAATAATTTTGAACTGTGGAATAAGTAAAGTAAGGTTTGAGATAATTTTAATAAATGTTAAAAGATCTTTTTTAGATCGATTATAGATCACCTAGACATTTATAGACATGCAGTTTCAAGATCTTTTACAGATAGTTTACAAATCATTTGTAGATTATTTAAAGATCATTTACTTCGCTTTCAGATCGTGTTTTTTTTCTGTGCAGATATTTAGACTGTAAAGACATTGAAGAAAAACGTCAGAATAACAATTTTCAAGATTCAAAAGATGTTTATATGATGCTTTAGGGACACCCTGTACATAAAACTTAAATTGGCTCGGTTCAGTAATATTTAGAAATTCATGAAAACTCGATAAATATTAAATATTAAATACATGTAATACAAAATACAAAATACGTGAATATGGCAAAATGTTGTCGTTATGCTGCAACACACATTTACGAAATAAGAGAAATGATATGTCAACAGGTGCTATTGAGCTTTGTATTAAATAATGTTAAATGGACACGGTTCACTAAACATATTGGCGAACCAGTTTTAATCTTAAAAATACGCGAATAGGCCTTTATCAAATATTAGTTATATGGGAGAAATCACAGTCAAAATTTGTAAAAAAGAGAACTGCATGGTGGGAGCTTTAAAGGGACTGTTTTCTAGCTTTGGTTCGGTCTCTACACTTTAGGCACTTGGATACTGAGAGCAGTTGTTACATCCTCATCATGTCTGGCCCCTCCTTTGTCAATTATATCACTAAACTCTCTAAATTATAAAAATGGAAAAAGTTGAGCATAAAAAGTAAATTCAAAATTTTGATTCTTTGAATATAAACGAAGATTAGTTTTCTAGAATTGGGATTTAAAATTTGTAAGAATTTCTTCTTACATTCGTTGGTTATCTTTTATTCTATAATAATTAATTTAAAGAGATATAAATATTTTTGAACAAAAAGAAAATCTCATATTTTATCCACCAGAAAAACTGATTTGATTAAAGTTTTGAATATACTAAATCAATTATTAATTTCAAAAACCAATATATTGTTAGGTTTTTAGAAAAAGTATAATAAAAGAAGAAGAATTAATAAGATTAAAGAATAATCTCAAGTTCTCAGAAAATTTTCTAAAGAACTTAATTTGAGGCTTTGTTAAAAATTGGTTTACTTCAGTTTCTATAACTGCTCCCCCGAGAATAGAATATATATTAGACTGGAATTTAGACAATTCTTCGGTATAAATTTTTTCAGTCCCTTTCAGCCTGAAAGGGAGTTCAAAGTGTACAAATCATGTAAATGTTCACAAATTATATGCAGTAGAGTACATTAATACAGTATGTTCCCTAGACTATCCATTTCAATTTCGAATTTTTAAAGCTGTTAAATAAACTTTATAATGAATTAGGTGAATAAAAACATCATTTGATTTATAGTTATAACGAAAAATCATCGTTTGTAAAGTGAAAGGCATAGAGTCTATGTGAAATGATCATTGGTCAATTATGAAACCAGCCTATTTCATAATTTGGTTTTTTTAATATTAATTTTAGATTTTCTATAATATGATGTTCCAGGGCCCAAAAGGTCATATAGCACAAATATGTTAAGTACACCTGCAGTATGGAAACAGTACAACAAAATGGCAGTTTTACACTTTTTTCTAGTAAATTCCCCTCTAATATATATTCTATTCTCTTAGTCCCTTACCCCCTTTACCCCTCACCTGAAGTTTATATGACCATCTGAGTCCTTGTCCAAAGCAAGAATAGTTTTATCAACTATTTGTTGAAGCTGTTTGTCCTGAAAACAGAGATTAAATGTTACAAAAGAATATTTCGAGAATTTTGTTATACTTTAGAGGTAAATATACTTTAGAGGTAAATATACTTTAGAGGTAAATATACTTTATAGGTTAATATACTTTAGAGATAAATATACTTTAGAGATCAATATACTTTAGAGGTAAATATACTTTAGAGGTTAATATACTTTAGAGGTAAATATAATTTAGAGGCGAATATACTTTAGAGGTAAATATACTTTAGAGGCGAATATACTTTAGAGGTAAATATACTTTAGAGGTAAATATACTCTAGAGGTAAATATACTTTAGAGGTAAATATACTTTAGAGATAAATATACTTTAAAGGTAAATATACTTTAGAGGTAAATATACTTTACAGGTAAATATACTTTAGAGATAAATATACTTTAGAGGTAAATATACTTTAGAGATAAATATACTTTAAAGGTAAATATACTTTAGAGATAAATATACTTTAGAGGTGAATATACTTTAGGGGTAAATATACTTTAGAGGTAAATATACTTTAGAGGCGAATATACTTGAGAGGTAAATATACTTTAGAGGTAAATATACTTTAGGGGTTAATATACTTAAGAGGTAAATATACTTTAGAGGTTAATATACTTTAGAGGTAAATATACTTTTGAGGTAAATATACTTTAGAGGTAAATATACTTTAGAGATAAATATACTTTAGAGGTGAATATATTTTAGAGGTAAATATACTTTAGAGGTTAATATACTTAAGAGGTAAATATACTTTAGAGGTAAATATACTTTAGAGGTGAATATACTTTAGAGGTGAATATACTTTAGAGGTAAATATACTTTAGAGTCAGATCATAAATACTGTAATCAGATCATAAATATAATAATATTAAAACAGACTTTAGTTACATTACACTATGTTATTTAAGGAACCCTCTATTTAGATTATATATAATATTATGGCACGTCTAATTCATAACAATCCCCTTAGAAGCTTCGTCTTGTCAAGAATATATAAATTGACGTGCGGGTTTCAAATGGAAAACAGTGGAAGAAATTACTCAGTTTTCTAAAGCTAAAAAAACTATATCTTCCTCATTTTTGATTTGATAAACGTTTAAATGGTACTATTGTGAATATGTTTACGCTTTGTAAACTATAGTAGTTTTGTTTAAACCCAACCTGAAGAGGAATTGGAGCTTCTTTTCTCTCTCAGTAGATTTTGTTGCAAACATTGCTAAACCTTGGACAAACTCCTAAAACAAGTCAATAAAGGTCACAGCTATATGATTTAAGGTCACAAAGGTCACAGAGGTACAGGCTATATTATTTAAGGTCACAGAGGTCACAGCCTATATGCTTTAAAGGGAGTGTTCGCGAAAAATGAATATAGGCTTAATGCGATAAAAAAGCGCTTTTGATCGATTCTAATCTTACTTCTATCTGTTGCGTCTATAAGGAGAAAATTGTTAGAAACGACTCACACGGAAGAACGCAGCGCCCATACAAATTCAGAAAGATGCAACATTCAACTCGGATCGTAAACAAATCAATTTAATTCCAAACAAATCATTCAGATATTACAAACAATAGTAATCGGTTATTTTTCGACGCATTCATATATAGTTAATATTTCATAATATTTTTGATTTTGTTTTTTTAGATTAATTTTCGCTGGCGCTGGATTTTCGAACATTCCTGGAAAATATGAAAATGTCGTCTTCATTATCAAAAATCCTCGAAACAGGAAAAAATGTAACTCTCAAATCATGAAAAATACAAAATATTAAGAAATATCAACTATTTACGAATGCGTCGAAAAATAATCGATGACTATTGTTTGTAATATCTGGATAATTTGTTGGGAATTAAATAGATTTTTTTACGATCCGAGTTGAATGTTGCATCTTTCTCAATTTGTATGAACACTACGTTCTTCGGTGTGAGTCGTTTTTAACAATTTTCTCCATATAGACGCAACAGATAGAAGTAAGATTAGTATCGATCAAAAGCGCTTTTTTATCGCATTAAGCCTATACCCCCTTTCATTTTTTGCGAACACTCCCTTTAAGGTCACAGAGGTCACAGTCAATATACTTAAAGGTCACAGAGCTCACAGTCTATATGCTTTAGAATCACAGAGGTCACAGGCTATATGCTCAAAGGTCAAAGAGCTCACAGTCTATATGCTTTAGGGTCACAGAGTTCACAGGCTATCTGCTTTAAGGTCACAGAGGTCACAGTCTATATGCTTAAAGGTCACAGAGCTCACAGTTTATATGCTTTAGGGTCACAGAGATCACAGGCTATATGCTTTAGGGTCACAGAGGTCACAGGTATATGCTTTAAGGTTACAGAGGTCACAGTCGATATACTTTAAGGTCACAGAGATAACAGCCTATATGCTTTAAGGTCACAGAGGTCAGAGGCTATAAGCTTGAAGGTCATGTCAGACTAGCTTAAAGGTCATAGAGATTTCAGGCAATATGTTTCACGGTCACCAAAAACAGTTGCGATCAAAGGAATTGAGTTTTTGCCACAAACTTTTATTTTCTAATCACTATATCTTTGGAACCCGATACTGTAGACCTTTGATATTTCAAACTGTGAATTATGTTAGATCAAATAATTATAGTTTGAAATATCAAAAGGTTAACATCTTTAGATAGGAGAAATATAGGGATTAGGCTTTTTGAGTTTGTGGCAAAAACTCAGTTCCTTTGAATAATTTTATAATTTTATTTTCCATAATTTTCCAATTTTTTCTGAACGACAACCTTTTTCATGAAAATTTCGTTCGTTCTTAAAAATTTTGTTCGTTCAAAGATAGTAAAAATGTAAAAGAGTTGAAAATACCTTGAAATCTATCTCTCCGCTGTTATCTTGATCAAATATAGCCACTACGCGTTTTACGAGGGGATTCTCCTAAACATAAAAAAATACGTTTTCGATATATTGAAAATTTATTTTTCAAAAACTAAAAGATTTTTTTAATATTGAAAATACATTTTTCAAAAATGAAAAGTTGTTTTAATGTTGAAAATACATTTTTAAATATTGAAAAATTGTTTTAATTGATTACATATTTTTAAAAATTGATATGTTACTTTTCATGTTGAAAATACATTAAAAAAACTTCTATTATAAAAAAACTTTTACTATACTAAACAGACGTTTTTTTATGAAATAATATAGTAATACATTCCCGGATATAAAAGATGTAAAATCATGGTATATAGGAAATTTTTCCGTTTACGAAAGCAGAATAACAAATATAAAATATTCAATATCGGATATCGGGTATCAAATATTGAATATCGGATATCTGATATCAAATATTAAATATCTGATATCAAATATTAAATATCTGATATCAAATATTAAATATCTGATATCAAATATTAAATATCTGATATCAAATATCAAATATAGGATATCATATATTGAATATCAGATATTAAATATTGAATATCGGATAAAAGGTATCTGATAATAATAATTTAATAAAATTTATTCTATTATTCTCGCATTCTCAACACACAAGCCATTTTGAATAAATGTTAAAATGTAATATACCGTTTTAATTTTTAATCGAAAAATTTAATTAATTGATCAATGTAAAATTTAACAGAAGTCATACTCTGAACAATTCTATGTTGTAAATATCCCGGGATCAAGATTGATCTCCATCTTTTGCATCTTTACAGATTTATTAAATCCTCTTCTATATCTTATGATGGTCCTAACCTGCAGGGATAACTTTGGTCTTGGGATTAAGCATTGTTTCCCAATTCCAAAAGTGCCCCAGATGGACATCGAGATAAAGCGTTCAAGATTAACAATTTCCATACAAAAGTTTCAATCTCTGTTCAAAATAACATAAATCAATAAAGTTTATTAAATTAATTCTTTTCAAATACGGTATTACGATTTTATGTTTCACTGATTCCTTTTATCAGAATTTGACTTACTATTTTATTTTGGGTTTCCTTACCTTTAACTCGGGTAGGGAGAGAAGTTCTCCTGTACTAAAACAAAAGAAAATGTTTTATATAAATATTTCATGTTTACCCGTCATTTTACCATTATGTTTTTTTAAGAAATTGTTTTTTCTATCTCTTCAAAACTTTCTACTGATAACGATTATTCAAGAAATTGTGAACGATATTTTTTTGGCTGAAACTTCAATTTATTTGTATAACGCAGAGATAAGAGAGTTACAGAGATCAATTAACACCTCTAATATGCGATAACTTCCTCAGCATGTTCTATTGTGTACAAGTACTGTACACGACCAATCAGGAGACATCTGTATTTAGGGATATTTAAGGATCCTCTGAATAGGAAATGCAAAATCTTAAAACAGACAATATTCATAAACGTTATGTTTTATGTTTAAAATTTCAGCATTTCTTAAAAGTTGTAAAACTTAACCCCTGAATGCAACAAATGGCCGTGAGATGTCAGTCAAAAAACATTACATGGAACCGTAGCATGGCGTGCCAGGACACTATAGGCCTGCTCAGCCTATCCAGGTAGAGTGTATGAGCAGTCTGTGTAGTCTGTGGTATAACCAGAGGCAGAAACTTTTGTGCGAACGTTAAAGAAGAATTAGATTAATCCGTAGATTAATCCCAAGATACACAACAAGAAGAATTAAATTAATCCGTAGATTAATCCCGAGATACACAACAAGAAGAATTAAATTAATCCGTAGATTAATCCCGATATACACAACAAGAAGAATTAAATTAATCCGTAGATTAATCCCGAGATACACAACACAAAAGTTCTTTCTTCAGGGTTTCCCCAAAATATTTTCTATAAAAAATGTTTTCCCGGAATCCATTTAAACAGCAACATCAGAGCAAACTTAAGTTCTTAGATAACTTAATATTGGAGGGAAAAACAAAAATTAAGAAAGAAAGAATTTTGATTAAAAACTTGTTTTTACGAAATGTTCTCAATGAGGTTATTTAGTCTTTGAACCTTTATATAATTGTTTGCACAGGTCATTTAATATATATCCTCCAATTCAATCCTCTAAGCTTACCCTACTAAACTAACCTATCCTCCTAACCTATCCACTATGCCTATCCTGTAAGCATATCTTCTAAACCTATCCACTATACCTATCCTCTAAACCTATCCTCTAAACCTATCCTCTAAACCTATCCTCTAAACCTATCCTCTAAACCTATCCTCTAAACCTATCCTCCAAACCTATCCTCCTAACCTATCCACTATGCCTATCCTGTAAGCATATCTTCTAAACCTATCCACTATACCTATCCTCTAAACCTATCCTCTAAACATATCCTCTAAACCTATCCTCTAAACCTATCCTCTAAACCAATCCTCTAAACCTATCCTCTAAACATATCCTCTAAATCTATCATCTAAACCTATCCTCTAAACCTATTCTATAAACCTATCCTCTAAACCTATCCTCTAAACCTATCCTCTAAACATATCCTCTAAACCTATCCTCTAAACCAATCCTGAAAAACATATCCTCTAAACCTATTCTATAAACCTATCCTCTAAACCTATCCTCTAAACCTATCTGACCTGATGGCACCACTCTGATCTAGATCAAGTTTCTTGAACCGCTTCTCTAGCCTAGCAACCTCCTCCAAGGAGAACCCCTCTATGGCCTCTAAGGGCAGGGAACCTTTCTGTCCCATTCTGAAATTCAAGGAATATTTTATACCGTCTACATATATAATAAAGCTCTTCGCTCATAAATATATATATTTGTATGTAAGGGTGTATGTATATGTTAGCTATAGCTGGCCAAATAGCTGAACATAATTGGCTGAATTTTTTTGAGGAAATCAATGTGTAACACTTAACATAGGCTCACAAATCAAAAAAAAAAAATTTAATTCGATTTTTTTCATTTTAGAAATAGTTATCTAATGATAAGATATTCAGATTATTTCTGAAAATCTCTGTAAATATTAAATGGTCCACTACAATTTAAACGAAATTATACAATTAAGCTTTAAATTCAATTATTTTGAATTCAATTAAGCTTTATAAATGAAGATTACAAAAGCAAGGATAGAATATCAAACTTGTACATGATAATAGTTTTTTTTAGGGGTTTACAAAGTATTTGAGTCTTTGCCACAAACTCTGATTTTCTAATACCTATATCTTTACAATTAAATGTCGTAGACCTTTGATATTTCAAAATATGAATTCATGGATAAAAAAATATTTTAATTTGGATTATTATATGTTTATACCATCAGGTTGAAAAGATACAGGGATCATAAAATTTGAATTTTTGGAAAATATATTCCTTTCAAAATTGTTTTTTCTGAAAATTTGTTATTCTTACACTCTCACAAATTTTGACCCAGAGAGAAAATATGTGCAAAAAACGAAACAATATGGATCGTTTAAAAGAGAGTTTTTTTGCTGTGTTTTCTTTTGCACTTTTATTAGGGAAAAGAATGGCAAAGTTTAAAAAATGCAAACTTTAACAAAATACAGTTCTAAAATGATTGAAGTTTTATTAAAAGTTTTCAAGAGAGGAATGAAAGCGATTTACAACCCTAATAATAATGCCTATCAAATAGATTCTAGTACAATAGATGGAAACGTAGAATTTGTACACTCTTAGTACAGCTTTATTCTGACGTCACAATTGTCAACTCAGTTTTTGTTTCCGTCAAAATTGTTAATAATAGTGATAATTTAAGAATAAAGAGCTTATCTTACAGTAAAATATGTGTAATGATATGTGTTCTTTATTTTCTGTTTTTACACTTTTTTATTTAATCTTGGAAAACGTGTCGACTAATGTGAGAAAATTTATTTTGTCTTGTTATATTTGACACTTGTGACGTCGCGTATAATTGGTCTATTTCTCTGCAGTTGCCACCTATTGTACTTCTAATCTATTTGTTACCTACACTATACCACCCCATTACAGATTACAGATTACAGATTACAGATTACAGATTACAGATTATAGATTACAGATAACAGATTACAGATTACAGATAACAGATTACAAATTAGAGATTAAATATACAGGGTTACTAACAAAGGATAAGACTTCAGAGACAACTTCACGGAATTAATAAACCAGTTAAAGACTACATTAAGGACAGTTAAGACTTAATTTGCCTTTGGGATCCTCATGTTAGTAGAGCTTTAAGTCGTCTTTGCAGTCTCATCCTTTGTGGGTAACCCTGTACATTTCAAGTATGACGCTGAGCCGCGCGATAAGGATTTATACTATATAGGAACAATTTATAAAGACATAAATATATTTCAGGTATCCTTAATTCTTTAACGAGCGAAGCTTTAAATAGTACTATTATGAATTGAATATGCCACTCTATAAAAATTCGTCGACAAACCCTTCAAATGGTTTGGATTAAAATCATGTTTAGTGGTCTTATATTCAGAATATTTCTTGATTAAATCTGTAAACATCTTAATAAAATGAGCATTTATTTAAAGTAAATTTTTCTCAAGTTTTAGCTTTACCGAACCTTAATACATAATGAACTACAGGCACGAAGCGCCCTTAATATCAAAAAATCTCTTTAGCCAATGATATTACCTTGTAACTAGTTGTATTCTTGAAATAAGATTGTTAGTCTTGAACTGCCTTACTTGTCCAGACTGCCTGAATGCATAGGTTTCATATGACAGGTATACTTCACCTATACTCTCTAAACCAACCCAACCTAAACCTTAGTAAACTTCAACCTTTAGATCACTTGGTTTATTTACTGCAAATATCATCCAGTGTTTTATCTCGTTTAAACACGTTTATTTAAAATTGATATTTTATGTTCATCTCGTTATATTTTCCGATAATCTATATTTCGAAATTTACATTCCATGTAAGGTTTTAAGGTATATAGGTATGATGTATTTATGTGTTTTAAACCTTCTAATGTAATTCATGCCAGGCCAATTCAGATAGATCTTAGAATTATTGGAAAAAGAAGCCATATTTATTATCTTCATATATACAAATCTTTTAATGGCGTTATAAAACAATATTAATTATTATGTGAGCCGTAATATGGTTGTACTTAATCTCCCGTTACCGTAGATCATTGCAAACAAGTTGTGCACGCGCTCATGCAAAAATCGAGCAGTATTTTGCCAATTTCTCCTTTTAAACTGAAACTAGAAACTATTTATGTTTTTTATAGGTTGACCCGACGCTAATAGTCTCTCATCAACTAGAGCTGAACAGCTGGCAGGTTAGAATTTTATTCTAGAAATTTATCAACTTGTTAACTATTTAAGATGATGTGTGAAACATTGCTAACAACCAACTATTTTATGTCTTTTCCTTTGTGTCCCCCGGACCAACCTGAGCGAGATACATTTTTAATCAATCCCGTGTTGGTTTCTATAAATCCAACAATCTTTAAACTTACGTAGTTGTCTTGATATACTTTTTCGTTTATTATGCATTTGCCGAAAGAAAGTATTTCAGAGAAAAAGACGAAAAAAATTATGTTTAACATACGTAAAATCGAAAGGCACAGCTCTTTTGAACCGACGCGAACCGTTAAATCCACGTGCAGTTGCATTAAACATGCTCAATATTGTAAATTGTCAAAAAACCATCGATATATTTTTTAAATTTTTTTTTACAACTTTGTTCATAATTTGATGTCCTTGTAGAATTTCCATTCAATTACATCCATTTAAAATTTTCATTTGATTTTATCCAGAAAATGTTTTAAAACGACACAAAAAACCATAATTTTACCACGACTAGAATTTTAAAGATTTAAATTTTGAAACCTTGTTAAGTTACATATTCAATTCTTAAGTGTACCTTGGTCTGCAGCTACAATTAAAAAGTTATCGTTTTAAACTAAAAATTTATAATTTTTACTTAAAGCTGTGTTCCATGTCAATTTTGTATTTATACAGCAGAGAAAAGAAAGCAAATGGACAATAATCAACAATATTTCCTCATGGTCAATCTGATGGAAGAGTACAGTTGAGAATCAGACAAATAGCGCTTTTAATTGAGGGATTTTAGTTGGTGGTGTATTTTTCGACCTACGCAATCCGCTATATACTCTGTACTTCTGACCTACGCCAAATCCGCTATACTACACATCCAACCTACTAACACGTGGTTTTACAGCTTCAATATGGACTTATGGCCGCAGCGCCCGCCCCCTAGCCTGTCCTAGCCGCGGCGCTCGGCCCCCTAGCCTGTCCTAGCCGCAGCGCTTGGCCCAGAAATTGTCTTAACTTAACCTAACCCTAAAATAATACAAAAATAAACAGCTGGCGTAGGTCCGATGTTGCAGTAGGTCGGAAAGTTAGTAGGGGGGATGTTGCGTATAGACGATGTAAAATTACCATTTTAGTTTTGTACTTTTTTTCAGGAGGCGTTTGATTTACTCATATCAGGTAAAATGAATTTAAGTCAGGGTCATAAAAAGTTATTGACATAAATTTTTTACGTTACATATCAACTTTAACGTTTATGCATAATCAAAAGTTACATATTTCGAATGATGACGTACATTAATGATCTAACTACTACAGTGGTTTCCAGAAAATAGTGGAATGATTGACATCTGTTTTTCTTTATATAGTGAAAAATCCCCAAGATTTTATGATTTGTAACTAAAAAAAACTCCCTTGATAATTTTTCGATTTATGGACACTTGGCTACTGAAACAGGAGGGATCACGCACTTTGCACTTATTTAAAGGCCGCCACAGTGAGGGTGGGAGTTCAGAAGTCCTCAATTAGTAATCACCGCCACCCAAACGTATTTTGCGGCATGCGCAATTTTCAATGTATTTTCTACCTCATTTCACAAAAAATTTTAATTTTCGCATTATCTTGTACAATTTTCGTTCGATAAAAATCGAAATTTCTCCATTTCACATCAAGAAGAAAATTTTTTTCCATTTCACATCAAGAAAAAAAAATTTTGCAGGAAACGTAAAAAATTTTACCGAATATTTTGAACAAATTTTGTGATTTTAGTGAAAATTTCGAACGAATTTGAACAAATTTTGCGAAAATTTCAAACAAACTTCGCAAATTTTGCAAAAGTGTAATAACAAAATGTTCGCGAAAATTAACAAACATGTTCGTTTTCGTTGGCTAAATAAAATTTTTGCAAAAGAAATATAACGAAAATTTGTAAACCCTACATATAGACAGCACAGTTTTTTTAAATCTTGGTTTTTATGTGTAATGAAAAATTTTAACAATTTTTTTTTGACGTAGTGGTACTAAGGATTAGAGTTATTTATTGATTATTGTGATTAGAATCATAAAGTGGTTTATAAGATTTATACCAAAACTTAAAAAATAAGTTTGGAGAAATATTTCTGGAGTAAACTTAGTTTGTTTTGTTGAAATTTTTGATTTGAAAAATGTTAAGATTTAAATAAATGACACAAATTTTTTAGATTGAATTTAAACTACAAAAAAATATCGCTTAAATCAAAGATTATAAAAGATTAAATGAAATTCAATTCAAATTTTTTCTCAAAATATTTTCCTTTTTGTGTAAAAAATGTTTAAAGTTTCATATACCATTTTATTAGTCATAATTAGGCACTTGTTGTCAGATAGGAACAAGATTCTCAAGTTGAACAGACATACAACAGAATAACCCTCAAATCAAAATCGATAATGCAGATTATCTTTATTTCCTGAAAAAAAATTACATAAATAGTAACATATAAAACTGTTATAATGAATGTTTATGATGAAAAAATTCTTACGATCTATTAGTAGAAAACAAGGGGGTTAAATAGTCGGACAGTAAGCTAAGACGTTTTTAAACTTCTGAAATAAATGACAATTAATTATTAACGAAAGTCACTAATTCTTTGTTTAGCTTTTGAAAATGTTTTAGGTTGTTTATACTCCTATAGGGAGAACACATGATATAATCAACGATAAAAAAAGCCTGAAGTAAAACTCTATCCAAACGTAATATTGTTAAATCCAAATATCTTGTAATTACAAATCGGTATTGAGTTAAGTGAATACATGGGAGAACCAGTGGAAAGATAATCTCCTTGTTAAAATTAATCACATTAATGAGGTCTGATGTCACAGCGGTTTTTGAAAATGTTCACTAATTGGAAAATAAACAGAATACAACAATTTTTAAGGTCGACACAACTGCAAGCCAATTGTACTGCCGCGCTGAAAGACGTTGAGTACGAACGATTGTTAAAATACTAAAAGTTTTTGTCCAAGAAAAAAAAGTTTCTTTCTGTAAATTTTATGCATTATTGTCCATAAATAATAAAACTTTTCGGTAGGCTATTTTCAAATAGTAAGTTTTTAAAACGGGTAAATAATTTAAATAATTTTAAAATAAAAAATAAATAAATTGCACTAGAGATGCACTGGTTTTTATAAAAGAATCGTTTAATGCTTGTGAAAACATGTTTATACCAACGTTCATATATTTCTATAAACATATACCAATATACAAAAATGGTTGTAGACCATACATCTTCAATAGATGTCGTCTTGAAAGCAAAACCCCACCTCCACCGTTAATATTCGCTAAATCCGTGTACAGTGAAAACAGTAACACGTTTTAAATAAAAATCTGCTTAAAATTCGTGCTTATCGCCGTGAACAATAATTTTTATAACCAATTGGGTATTGATTTTTCCAGGGGGGAGACATCCCCCTTGTTTTCCAGGGAGGAGGACTTCCCCCAATTTTCCAGGGGGGACGTGCCCCATACCCCCCCCCCCCATTAGCCGCCTCTGCATAAACATTATACACATATCTAGATCGCAGCTTTACATAATAGAAAAATACATTATAAATCTTTATGTTGCTTGGATGATTCGGATGATATCGCAGATTAATAATCTGATACTCATATTCAAGGTACTAATGCAAGGGAAGTTATTTCAGAGGTGTACGCATTTTTTGCACTGCAGTGAAGTCTTTGGGCGGAAAAGTAAACACAAGACGGATGTCACAGCCTGACATGGAATCCATTTTCACAATTAAATGCTTTCCTCCTCCTTGGATACTAGACGAACACTGATGCATCTATTCTTGTTTACAAATTCCGCCCAGAGAGAACTGATTTCAATATGTACGCAGAGTATACGCGACCGTAATTAACTTTCCTTGCATTTTTTCTTTGCTCATATTATTCTTACATCTTAAATCATATATCTTTACCAATACAATTATCGGAAATGGAATTTTTACACAGATAGAACAAGGTCATGCTGGGTCCGCAACTTTCCTTAAAATTAAGGAACCGCGAGTTCAGGCTACACTCAACTTACTAAACCTTTCATATTAGATTTCACAGAATTCATAGTTTGAAATATAAATGGTTTATAAGTTATTAATTCGGATTGGTAAAAATAATTTTGAGATTTTGACAAAAATTCAGTTGCTTAATCAAATAAAATTTAAATTTATGTTATGAATAATAAAAAAATTTATTTATTAACTAGCTGAAAAGCCTGACGTTGCCCGGGGAAGTAGAAGTTCTACTTAAAAAATTTCAAACTTTGTAGTATAAATTCTAATTTCTAGTATCCTAGGAGGTTAAAAGCATTTAATTTTGATAATTTTGAAAATTCACATAAAAGTTTCCTATGACCAGAATGTTTCATTAATTATTTTTGCGAGGCTGTGACATCCGTCCGCCCATTACACTGCAGGTCAAAAAATGCGTACACCTCTGAAATAACTTTCCTTGCATTAGTACCTTGGTTAAACCTCTCATATTTAAGTTTGTATAATAAGGTTCCTTACTCTTGATGCGCTCCAATGTACAGAAAATGTATTCTCCTTAGCATAGATACACAGAATCCACATACTTATCTTTTCCATTAATTGGAGACCAGCGAGAGTAAGCAACCGGCCTTATCATACAACCTTGCTGATTTCTGGATTCTGTTATAGCAAGTTATGCTGTCTGAACTGACATAAATATTATTATGAACAATAATTATATTCTATTTAGGAAGTGCGTGCAAAATTGTAGTTTCTTGCAACGAGACAGATTAATCTTCAATAACAAAATGTTTGATATATTGTTGGTATACTTATTACTTATACATTACATTTTCAATGGCTTGATCCTAATTATATTAAAATATAATACGTTCTGCATGGCACTGTACTGCGTCTTTTAAGACAATTTACATTCAATGTATTTGGGGCGCTCTGTTTCTCTCGCAACGTTTATCAGCAATTCTTATTTCAAAAGCCGACACACCAACACTGAGGAACCAAATTTAATGAATTAGAGCTACATCATTGAACTACATACTGCAAGTTCAAACTTAAACCACCGATTTGAAGTTAAATATTAAGGAAGGATTTGATGCAGCGGCGATTCGGCGGTAGGCAGTTTAAATGCAATAAATCCGGTCCCATGACTTGTTAATTCGAATTTGAACCGGCAATAGGCAGTTCAAATGCATTAAATCCGGTCCCATGACTTGTTAATTCGAATTTGAACCGGCAATAGGCAGTTCAAATGCATTCAATCCGGTCCCATGACTTGTTAATTCGAATTTGAACCTGTGGTAGACAGTTCAATTTCATTAAATCCGGTCCAAGGACTTATTGATTATAGTCAATTAAAACAGATAAACCTTCTTGAAACAAGTAGCAAAAAAAAATATAAGAAAAGCTTTTGCGAGTGAAAACCTTTCCACACTTGAAGTTTAATAATGTTAAATATTAATTATTTATTAAATAAAAAAGCTAGTGATATTATATGTTAATAATTCATCAGATCATAAATAGTAAACCAAAGGTCTAAAATATTCAGTCAATCAACTTGGTGGAAATTTATAGAAAAAGGGGAGGGAAAAAAAATGAGTAAAAGATCTCATTTAAAAATAAAATTTGTTTTCACTGATTTTGATGAAAAATTGGTGAATATTATAGATCCCTGGTCTTATGAACCACACCAGGATAAGGCAGAGTGCAGCAGAGCAGATAAAATTATCAGAGTGCCGCAGAGCAGATAAAATAATCCGAGTGCAGCAGAGTAGATTAAATTATCCGAGTGCAGCAGAGCAGATAAAATTATCCGAGTGCAGCAGAGCAGATAAAATTATCCGAGTGCAGCAGAGCAGATAAAATTATCCGAGTGCAGCAGAGCAGATTAAATTATCTGAGTGAGCAGAGTAGATAAAATCATCAGAGTGCAGCAGGGCAGATTAAATTATCCGAGTGTAGCAGAGTAGATAAAATTATCCGAGTGCAGCAGAGCAGATAAAATAGTGCAGCAGAGCAGATTAAATTATCCGAGTGTAGCAGAGTAGATAAAATTATCAGAGTGCAGCAGAGCAGATTAAATTATCCGAGTACAGCAGAGCAGATTAAATTATCCCAGAGCAGATAAAATTATCCGAGTGCAGCAGAGCAGATAAAATTATTTGAGTGCAGCAGAGCAGATAAAATTATCCGAGTGCAGCAGAGCAGATTAAATTATCTGAGTGAGCAGAGTAGATAAAATCATCAGAGTGCAGCAGGGCAGATTAAATTATCCGAGTGTAGCAGAGTAGATAAAATTATCCGAGTGCAGCAGAGCAGATAAAATAGTGCAGCAGAGCAGATTAAATTATCCGAGTGTAGCAGAGTAGATAAAATTATCAGAGTGCAGCAGAGCAGATTAAATTATCCGAGTACAGCAGAGCAGATAAAATTATCCCAGAGCAGATAAAATTATCCGAGTGCAGCAGAGCAGATAAAATTATTCGAGTGCAGCAGAGCAGATAAAATTATCAGAGTGCAGCAGAGCAGATTAAATTATCTGAGTGAGCAGAGTAGATAAAATCATCAGAGTGCAGCAGAGCAGATTAAATTATCCGAGTGTAGCAGAGTAGATAAAATTATCCGAGTGCAGCAGAGCAGATAAAATTATCAAGAGTGCAGCAGAGCAAATTAAATTATCCGAGTGTAGCAGAGTAGATTAAATTATCCGAGTGCAGCAGAGTAGATAAAATTATCACGAATATAGCAGAAGAAGCTGCACAGTGCACATCATTTACAGGAAAATTTTCTTTTCAAATTAGAGTTTTGAAGTTTTAATTTTTAATCACAGATTTGATTTTATATTCAATAGCCAGGCAAGTTTCCAGTATTAAGTACATTACAATTTTTAATTAAAGTTGGGAAAAGGTGATAGATAAAAAGTAATAAATAAATAAAACCCAAGTGCGCTAGTGCGGAGAATAATTTCAATATAATAAAAATAACGATGTTTATCAAAATTCTGAAAAATACTAAGCGCCAATTATTAATGGTTTCACAGGTTTCACGTTCCTCCCATTGTTTGAAGAGCTGCGGGTGGTTGGAACCTAAACAAATAAAATATTTGTCAAATGTGGTGGCCCGGAAGGGGAAATAGTGGTGGCTCATGGCTGCCGGAAGAGAAAAAAGCTAATATGTGGCCCGGAATGGGAAATAGTGGTGGCTCATGGCCGCCTGCCTTCCCCCGCTCCCTGTATAGTAGCCATGGTGCTCGCACAGTTGCCCTCAAGCAGGGATAGGTACAAAAAAATGTAAACCTTATCTGTCAATATATTTCATATTACACATAAGGAGTATTTTCCACCAAAAAATAAAATCATCAAGAGCTTTTCGGAAAATATTTCTTTGTAACCTTTTTTCTAATTTTGACCTCGACCGGTCAAAATGTAAAATCAATGAAAGTAGGTCATGTGAGGTATCAGATCATGGGTTTTTGGTGTTTTGATTTCATTCCGAGGCCCTTTTTTGACCATAGATGACCCTGAAGGTATTTGACCTCCAAATATCAATGACCTCCGGAGGTCTAAATATAATATCAATGAAAATAAGTCGTGTGAAGTATCAAATCATAAGATTTCTTGGTGTTCTGAATCCAATATTGGGATCCTGTTTTCAGTTTCAATTAAAATGGAGCATGTTAGAAATTAACTCGTAGGTTTCTTTTTTAATTACTTTCCAAACCCGCTTTTGACCTTAAAGTGATCCTGAACTGAAGGTCGCTGACCTAAAGATGAAATACCTGATACGACCCATTTTCGTGGTTTTAGGGTTTTACCTCCAGAGGTCAACGACCATTAGTGTCATTTAAGGTCAAAACGGGGGCTCGAACTGAAATTAAAATAGAAAGATACCTACCATTTGATTCCTAACCTGTCCCATTTTAATTGATTCTAAATTTTAAAGAAAAGTTCAGTTTGACCTCCGGAGGTAATTAATATTTGGAGGTAAAAAAATTGAACACCCGGACTAAGAACAGGATCCCAATACTGGATTCAGAACACCAAGAAACCTAGGATTTGGTAACTCACACTACTTATTTTAATTGATATTATATTTAGACCTCCAAAGGCCATTGATATTTGGAGGCCAAATACCTTCAAGATCATTTAAGGTCAAACAAGGGCCTCGGAATTGACCTACTTTCATTGATTTTATAATTTGACCGGAGGTCAAAATTAGAAAATTACTATCAACGTAATTTCTAGGACCCTCCGTTTAATTGAGTTTCATCTCCGATTCACAATGATAAATGATTTATCCTAGATTTTAGACTTAAAAGATGATAATTTTCTCTGTAAAAGTGACTTGCAGATTTGACTACTCCAAGATGAAAGAAATTCTAAATTTTCATAACAAAAAAGACATTTTTAAGTTACAGAAAACCGTTTTAGTTGAAACTACGTTTATAAAGTGTCTACAGTCTGTATATAATATTTTGTCTCAAAGGAGAAAAAAATAATATTCTCGGACAAAAAAAAAATATGGATCCTAAGTAGAATTTCCTTTGTTTTTCTCTAAAGAAATTTAAAACTAGTTCTTGATTGGTTATAAAACGTGCTCGTAATCGTTTCTTCTTTCTCCTAAGCTTGCAATTTATGCCAAGTTCAAATTCCATAAAAAATGGAAGACAGTATATGTAGTAAAAATTAAAAATCTTGTAAATTACCTTTCAAGTTTAATGCTTCTCAGGAGAACTATTTCCATTTTTATGTTCACTGAAACAGAAACTTTGTTAAAACTATATTTTCTTACAAAAATATTCGACTTAAGAAAAATTCTGTGGTGTTAGTCCATATGTCTTAGTTATTTTACACAAACAAGTTTACAAAAGATTAAAGGGACTGTAAGCGTTATTTCAAGTTACCCTCATTGTAAAGATGGCTATGCCCCACGAGGTTTTAGTTTTAATAGTGATGATGTACTCTAATCCTTTACTAATTGTTTAGGCCATGAACTATACCGAGAGCGTACTGCCTATTTGTTTATTATAAGGAGATTCTGGCCTAACCTATAGTATATCATTATTAGTAAACAGTTGTAAGTGTTCAGTACAGCTAACTGAGCACACAGGTAGGAAACTATGATCCCCCCTGGCTATGCCCGATTTACAACGGTACCCTTGAAAGCTTGATGAAGTATGAACAAGACTTCGACGTTTTTGTTTTTTAAAATGTTTTATATTTATATTTACACATTTGCGGTTTCTCTGCGAAAGAGACTTGAGCATTTCTTGTTTTTAAGATCACAGAAATTAACACTTTTCGTGACACGGTATCTTTCAAATGTTAGATAAATTAAGGTTTCAAGGATAACGCACTCCTGTATGCCGAGTCCATTAGCGCCTGATCCATTCAGGATTAAATCATGTGTTTGTTGTCTATTCTGAACCAATAGAAATAGTATGGCGGTAACATCTATTTTTCTATCTATCTCATCATCCAATCATAGTTATGACTCCTTCAATCGGCGCTGACCGTTAATTGGAAATATTAACTCCTAAAACTACGTTGTTGTTAATGGGGCATTGTCATTTTCTCTCTTTCATTTTAAGTCAAGATAAAACTTACGAAAGTTTTCGAATCACCGAACACTTAAAATTACGCTTACGGTCCTTTTAAAGGGAGTGACCGGCAATGAATTTTTTATGAATCATTGAGACCTATAAGACGTTTTTACGGTGCATATTTATTCAGCAAGAGCGCAAATTCAATCTTTAAAATCATTATTGTTCATTTTAGAGGGATGATTTTGGGAGTCGGTTTAGGAGAACTATTCAAAAACAAATAAGGACCAAAACATTTGTAAAAATTCTACAGTAAACTAATTGGTTGAGAAAGTAAAAATTAACTATTATCATTGAAAATAAATAATTTTTTTCAATTATTGGTTTCTGTAATCTCTCATTGTTCACAAACATTTCCTGGAAGTTATTGAAAAGTCGACATTTGAAGAAATTCATAAAAAATAAGAAATTCAATAAAATGATGAAAAGGAATAATTGATTCTTTGATATGAGAAAATTTCGATTAAGAAATAAATTCCTAAACATCCAATAAGTTTGCTGTGGAATTTTTTAAACATTTTTTGAAGTTTTTGTTTTGTTATTAAAAAAATCGATTCTCAAAACGTTAACACCCAACTCAGTAACTATACATCATTAACACGTTTTATATGTCTCAAATAAATCCGAAGAAATGTCTCCACAATAATTCACTCTCAGTTCAACTACCATACCTTGCCGGTCACTATATTTACCTTATCTTTAACTTTCCTATTTAAAAGGTTGTGAAAGAGGGGGGTGGGGGAGAGTAGGGTTTCTAATTTCTTTCGGATCAAAAGTCTTTACTGAACCTTTTCTAACAGCAATGAAATCTTAAGAAAATTAACATAACCTTTCTCAATTGAGTTAAAATAGTTCACCCTCCTAAATGAGAGCTAGAGGACGATTATTCCGGATGATTTCTATATTAAATAATCTTTCAGAAAACTTTTTTCAGCCTGTCAGTTTAAAAGTTTATAATTATCAACAGCTTCATGAAAGTTTTATAAATGTCTTGACAGAACCCTAACCATAAGCCTTATGAAAATAACTTACTCTAAGGCTTCGTCGAAGGTTTGCTGGGAATAGGAATTTATTTTCTAAAGTTTTTATCCGTGAACACGTTATTGTATATTGTACAATACCTTCTGAAAAGCATTACTGCCGGCTATACCGCTCCACATACTAGCAGTCTTCTCTTTAGCTATCTCCTACAATAATCGGGGGTCAGGTATTAGGCACACAGAGGCCGAATTCAAAGATTATAAGCCGCGTCTCAAATTTGAGACGTGGTTCAAGCAAGGTTGGTTTCACTTGAAATTGTATTTTAAGCGGTTTTAAGCGGTTCAGCGACGCAGTTTAAATTTCTAAAAATTCGACCTCTGGGGTGTAAAACTAAGAAAGTTTTTTTTTTTCTAAATTAAGAGTAATATTCGTAATTTATATTTCTTTCAAAATTTTTAATTCACAAATATTGAGTTCAACAGTTTTTTTTAGAAACCCGTGAAGTGCAGAGAATATTTCCCACAAGAAATCAGATTACTTTGTTAGATCTCAAATAAAGAAAAAAATAATAAAAACCTCCGCTAAAAATGAAATTAATAACATATTTTGCCATGAAATATCATCAAAAGCAACCCACAACAAAATAAAAAAAGAAAACATTAATTTAATTTAAGAAAAGGTAAAGTTACCTTGGCAAAGATCAGGTTTTCAGAAGTTCTCTTATATGTAGCAGATTCTTGGAGATTCTTTAGTCCCTATTATAATAAAAATATGGTTTAAAACTATTAAATGGTAATGTTACTCCTTGCAACAAAAAGTACATTTTTAAAAAAGCTTTTCTGTTCGCTTCACATCTCGCATCCCTCTTTATAATAATAGCTTGAGTTTAAATCCATAATAGAAAAATGAAAATAACTTTCCAAATTTCTTGCTGTAATATTTGAATTATTAGGCAAGGAAATCAAATGTACGCAAATTATAAACTTTATTGTCCAGGGCAAAAAGAACAAACGCAGTCCTTCCAAAACCGGTGCTAGAGTTCTTTGAGAAACCCCAGTTATGTTTTCAAACTTGTGTTGTGACGATAAATATGCATTTTAAGTGCAATTTTTTACGATTTTAGGCCACGGATCTTTATATACTCCCCCCCCCACACACATAATTGATGGATTTTTTGTTTAGATCTTTTCCCACTCTAGTACACAACATTGACGCTTCATATGGCGGTTCCCAGTCAATGTAAATATATTTCTTGCATTATAGCAATTTGATCTTTAGTCCTCGCCTCCCCCCCACACCCCTCTAAAAATTAAAAATATAAAACCTGGGTCATATCCTCGGAAAACTCCCTCCAAGCAGTGATACCAAGCCTTCGCTTCAATCCTGAAAAAGTAAATGTTTAGTCAACACAGCTTGAGCAATAGACCATTGGAAATGTTCAGTCCCATAAATTACTTTAAAATCTACTTTCACAAACATTTCAAAAATATCGATATATTTCATATCCAAGGAAAATAGTCTCTAAACTAAATTATTAGATTGTATGTTAAAGATATTAAAACCGTCCAATTGTACCATGACTTATTAGTTTTTAACGATGTGCGTATTTTTAAATCTACAACAATCCCTTTAAAGCTAATTATAAAAACTAGTTAAAAATTTAGATAAATGAACTTAATGGTGCTATAATGAACTAGTTTGGGAACCCAGATTTGCATGAAAAGTCAACATAGTCTGAAAATATGACCAACCGTTTTACCCCAGTGAAATCTAAGAAAAATCGGTCCCAGAGTTGCCGAGTTATGATCGGACATACAAACAAATACACCTTAATAACAATACAAATCACTACTTTATCAATATATAATATGTGTCTGTCTGTTCAAGTTTGTATCCAATAAACGTCATAAAGGCTCTTCCGAACGGGCCCAATTTTTTTTGTTGGAACTCACGGGGCCCCAGAAAAGGTTTAGATGATTAAAAAAAATTTGCCTCCAAGAATCTTCGAATTCTTTTAAATAAGCTTATTTTTTATTGATATTTGTCTCACAATTCATTTATGAGATGGTCTAGTATATATTAAACTGCTAACCTTGTGCATGTCTCTCCTTGCTGGTGAGAACCTGCTTCAAGGTTAGAATCTCCTCCTCGGTCTTGGAGAGCTCTGCCTTCCACTCATCTCTCTGCCTCTCCTGCTCCTCACTACTCAAACCCTATAACACAATATCAAATGAGGAAAGGAGAGGTGAGCGTGGGGGGGGGGGGATGAAGATGACAAATCTAAAAAAGGTCTGTTTTTCAGAAAGGTTTTAGTCAAAACTTATTAAAGGTGATTATCTGAAAAGAACGTTCATCTAAAAAGAAATTACAAATGTTCAATTGTTTAATAAGAAAAAAAAAAGTTTATTTATTGGTGTTAAATGTTCCGTAGGATTACCATAATCACTTACTTTTTGTCAACAAAACAAGGGAGTTTAAAAGAATATGATTTTAAGTAAATTTCCAGCATGAGGGGGGAGGGATAGGGCTTTCGTAATTATCTTACACAAAGATACATTAATCGTTTATGAATCAATGCTAACCTGGAAATCAGCTCCAATAACAGAATCTGTCGGTGATGTAATATCGTAGGGTGAAGTCTAAACACAAACGTAATTTTCGTGAAAATCATCGGAATAACCTTTTTAAAATTATGGGTATATTATTTTGTACATGGAAAACTATAATTTTCAGCAAAATCATCATATAGTAATTTCTTAGAATATGATTTTTAGACCTCCTATCAATTTTGTGCATGGATATCATATGTAACACATGGATATGATTGGTCATGTGGCCGCAGCGCCCGGCCCCCTATCCTGTCCTAGTCGCAGCGCTTGGCTTCCTCGCCTGTCCTAGCCGCAGCGCTCGGCCCAGAAATAGTCTTAGCATAACCTAACCCTTACATAATAAAAAATAAATAATGATATTTTGCTGAAAAAAGTATTCATGTACAAAGTTGATAGGATGAGGGTGGATAAAATTCGTTCTCTGGGACAGACACCATCATAATTTATTTATAAACTATTTAAGGGTTAGGTCAGATAAAGCAAATTTCTAGGCCGAACGCTGCGAATAGAACAGGTTTTGGAAGGGGTGAAAACAGTTCTCTAGAGTATTCACTTATTTACATTTGAAAAAAATGTTTAAAATGTAAACAATCTATTATGGCAATGACTCATCGTTTCAATTAATAATATAACAGATGTTTCTAAGAAATTGGAAATTCTTTGAAAGTATGAAAAAAAGATTTATAAAGATTTTTACCTCTTCATGACCACTGCTAGTCGACATGATTAAATAGAATACTTCAAATCTGAAATAAACGTACATTTCACTTTAAAATTAAAACTATTTTAATTTATGAATTGTCACAATAATATTTATACACGTACTCAAATAAATAGGTGCCCGCTGTTATTAACTAATTTAAACACTACGTTTGAACAGTCATTTCAAAGTATATTGAGATTAAACTGATCAAAATTTCTTTCTTAGTTCACCGGAGAAAATGACGTGGATTGAGCGGAGAGAAGCTGTCACTATTCACAAAACCGGTTTATTCACAGCTGATCATAACAGAGATAGATAGATAGGTAAATAGGTAGATAGATAGATAGATATATTTGTAGACAGGTTTCAGGAATAGGGGCGTTTCAATTTATGAAATGGAGATTTGAGAAGGCAGTATTAAAAGAGTGGCACATTATTTATAAGTATATTAAGGGTCTGTCCATGGAGAGGACGATTTTTGGACCTGCCCCCTCCCCCCATTCTATAGATTTTGTAAATGATCACTTTTTTCAGAAAAACTATGATTATTTTTTTTTTATTATTTTAGGGTTAGGTTAGGCTAAGACAAGCTTTATGGGCCGTGCCTGTGGCTAGAAGGCTAGAGAGCCGCGTCTATGCCAGGCTAGGGGGCCGGGCGCTGCGCGCGGCCATGTCATTGTTCAATTAATGGGATCGGGGAGAGGGTTCAAAAATGGTTAATTCTAGAAAATTACCAATATTATCAATGTTACATTAAATATGAATTTCTGTATATATTTCTTTTTATACTGTATACATGTATCGTATAGTACACTTTTCTGTGTACATGTGTACGCATGCATAAATAGATTCGAGCAATCGATCAGACAATGCTATTTAATTTATTAACAATTCAATCCTCTGCAAGCTTCACTTGACGCGCGTGAAAAACATGATCTGCGTGAAAATGAATTAAAACAGCTTTTTGTCAATCGAAGACGACTTTATTTTTGTTAATTTTTGATCAGCCCGTTCTCTCTGTTATATGTAGATAGTGTTCTTGTAGTAATTACGTACAAATTTGGGTGTACGATAGTTTGACCGCGCTAGATGTTAGAATTCTAATCTGATATGATAGATTTATCAATCCATGAGAATTTTGCGTGATTGCTCCCATTACTCATGCTTTTAATTGAGCGCGGCGTTGTTCAGTCAAATCAGCAGCTGTAAAACTTGAAGAAAATCTTTCCACACCGCTAGCGGCCAAACCATCGTTCCAGAAAGTATGTTAAATTCACGACCACAGTATTATGATGGAGAATGAAACGGGTTCAGCGGAATTTCTCAAATTCCTTCCGTGGACCGTGAGATTCTGTGTAGCGACAGCTAATTCATTTCAAGGTTCAAGCTGTTAATCCTGCTTTATTACAGTACAACAGCTGATTACAGTTTCCAACAAGTCTTGAAGTCTAGACATTTAATTTTTGGTTTTTAAATAATAGATATTTTATGAATTTCTACATTTTGGCTGAAAATGATTTTCTTGAGAGTCTGTCCTAGTGAACTAGTAGAACCACAGTAGAACCACAGTAGAACCACAGTAGAACCTCAGTAGAACCCTAGTAGAACCACTTTAGAACCTCAGTAGAACCACAGTAGAACCACAGTAGAACCATAGTAGAACCACAAAAGATCCATAGTAGAACCACAGTAGAACCACAGTAGAACCACAGTAGAGCCTCAGTCTAGGGTGCACTCAGGAGTTTGTCCTGTGGGGGCTTAAATTATATATCATTTTAGAAGGCGCTGAGCCTCGTTGGAACTGAAAACCTCCTGGAAATAAATTTGAGTGATTCAGGGGGGCGGGTCCGAGTGCTGCGGCTAAAACGTTGTCTAGGAAATTACCGATTAATGTCTTGAGAAGCAATCAGAATTCTTTATATATTTTGTTTCAGATAAAGATATGGCGCTGAAACGTATTAACAAGGAATTAAAGGATATTGCAAATGATCCCCCGGCCCAGTGTTCTGCTGGACCTGTAGGTAATTAAACTAAAACTTTATCAATATCTGTATGTATTAAACTAAATCGTTTGTTGGTATAACCGATCATATCTCATGAACCTCCTGGCCGATTTGCCTCAAATTTTGATTAAGAAACTATGTCGAAGTATAGGAATATTCTTAGCTTTGTTAACAAATTCTTAGTTAAGCAGCATTGACTGTGTTGTGAAATGAAAATCTAGCTTCAAGACAAAGCCATGTTTTAAGCTAGTTAATGGCAAAGATGTACGACCTCTTTGGAAAATGGAACCTCTAATTAGATAAGTTTTCCCCAACGGGCTCTGTAAATAAAATGTACGGAGGTCGGATTCAATGAACAATGCAGATAAGTAGTTTAAGTAGGTACGGACACAGGGATGTATAGTTTTCAGAATTTTTTTCATTCTTTTCAATGCTATGCAAGAAATAAATTATTTTCCTTGAAAAATGATTTTATTTCCCCCATTCAGCGAAAACCCATTAAAAAAATTTGCACCCCCTGCACCCTTAAAAAACTTCTGGGGTAAATAAATGATTTTTAAGGAAAATATACACCCCTGTACGGACAGCTGAACTACTACAGAGTTGTGGAGAAGAAGTTCAATTAGTTTAACTGTTTCGCCTATTCTAGTTCAACTACCTCTTATTGTTTGCTAAATTCGAACTTACATTGGATGAATATTTTATTCTAGGAGATGATCCGTTTCACTGGCAGGCCACCATCCTCGGGCCCACTGACAGTCCCTTCGAGGGGGGTGTCTTCTTCCTCAATATTCACTTCCCAACCGACTATCCCTTCAAACCTCCTAAGTTCGCTTTCACCACAAGAATATATCATCCGAATATTAATAGTAATGGAGCTATTTGTTTAGATATTCTTAGGAACTGGTTTTTGATTGTTTTTCTACAAATTGATATTAATTTTTTCTTTGATTTCATAAAAAATGTGGTTTAGTTTACGTAGTTCAGCTATGTCTTCCAAAACAATAGATTTTGGCCCATGGTTGGTTTGGTTGGATCAAGCCCAAGTGATTGATCCGTTGACCTGGTATATTATTATTCAAACATCTCGCTTTGAGTCCTTTTTACCCTGAAACATATTAATGGGTTTCGAACCACAGAATAGAGTTAGAATAGAACTGAACCTGAACCTGAAAAAGTAGCTCAAAGTATAAAATTCATGTAAATGCTTACAAATTAGCAGTACATCACACTAATACGGTATGATCCCTGGACATATCCGTTACAATTTCTTTGTTTTTTTTTCAGTTGTTAAATAACTTTTAACGTATGTATTAGCCATAGGGTAATTAAAATCGCTATTTTATTAATCAGAAAAACGTAAAAATTGTTGTTTTTAAAATAAATGCACGCAGACTGTAGAATTGTTAATCTTTTTTGCTTTAGACTTTTTTGCTTTAAACTTCAAATTAATTTTTAACAACGATTATGCTGAGATGAACTCGGGAATGCAGGGTGTCAGAGAATTGATTTAGGGAAAATGAAATATTTTTTAAAAAAATTTTTCTATAAAATATGTTCCAGGACCCAAAAGGTTATATAGTACAAATGTGTGAAGTACACCTGCAGTATGGAAACAGTACAACTAGATGGCGGTTTTACACTTTTTTTGAGTTAATTCCTCTCTATACTAATCTATTCTATTTGTTTCGAACCCTAGATAAATATTTATGTATCGTTTTCAATCATATTTTAAAAAGAGCTTTATTATGAGAAATTTTGTAAAAATGCCAAACATTAGATTTTTTTATTAAATGCAGGGGTGAATATTTTCTTGCAAAACCATTTATTGTCCCACCCCCTCTTTTGAAAGTCATTCCCCCCAGATTTTAGGTATGTCTGCGCTGAGGGTTTTTTCGCTAAATTGGGGAAAATAGATGCCTTTAGGATAAAAAAAACTTAGCTGCTCATGTCCAATTTTTCAATCATCGTAAATCATTTCTGGGGGGGGGGGAATTCTTAAAAATATACACCCCTGATAACATGTTTTTACATATTATTGAATTAAAAACCGGATGTTTTGTTAGATCTCAGTGGTCCCCAGCCCTAACAGTATCCAAGGTATTTAAAAAAAAATTTATTTTGATGTATAAATTACATGTACAATATGATCATTGACTAATCTTTACTAAATTATACATATACTTTGCTTATCTGTCTGTTTGTTTGTATCCAAAACGGTTCAATGTCAAGGTTTATGTCAATTTGCCCTGAAAATACATATCCAAATTGATTTCTTTCGAAAAATGCACCAATAAAAACAGACAAATCCGCGAAATTTTGATTTTTACAATTACGAAGGAAAAAAATTAAGCTTGAAGAACATCTATCAAACGTGTTCACTAGAAAAGGGGCGCTAAGCGCTTGGAAAGTCTAGTAATAAAATAACTTAGATTCTAAAATTATCTCCTTTTCCTGGATTTTCCTAATTTTTGACGTCTTTTTCTTTTCAACAGTTCAGAATAAAAATAATTCTGGAATTGTTGTTAACATTAACTAGGGTGAATATTCTATTAAAATCAATCAGCACTTCTCAAATATTTTACCCGCCATGTTTGAGGGTTTTGAATATGATTATTGTTTAAATTTCTAAATGTAAATCCTGGAAGTTGGTTAACTACTTCTTCTTTTCTCAATAGTTTTATTAAATTTTATGTTTAAAGTTGGAGAAAAATTTAAATGTCTGTAAACTTAATGTCAAATACTGACCCTCCATTAAAAAAAGGCATGTTCTATTCATAACGTATGTTTAAACCTTTTTCTGAATTAAAAGGAAGAATTCGCGAAAAATGTAAGGGGGTATAGGCTTATGACGAAAAATAAGCGCTTGTGATCGCTACTAATCTTACTTATTTTTTTAAAAATAAAAATTCGTTGGCTCTGGATTTTTGAACATTCCTGGAAGATATGTAAATGTCGTCTTCATTATCAAAAATCCCCGAAACAGATATAAATGTTTTTAAAAACAACTCTCAGATCAAGAAAAATGGAAAAATATTATGAAATATCAACTAAATACGAATGCGTCGAAAAATTATCGATGACTATTGTTTGTAGTATCTGAATGATTTGTTTGGAATTAAATTAATTATGTTTACGATCTGAGTTGAATGTTACAGCTTTCTGAATTAGTATGGACGCTACGTTCATGAGTCGTTTTTAACAATTTTCTCTTTATAGACGCAACAGATAGAGGTAAGATTAGTAGTGATCAAAATCGCTTATTTTTCGCCGTGAGCCTATATTCCCTTTCATTTTTCGCGAACGCTCCCTTTAAAATTATGAATAAATGGTCGTTTATCTAAATTAAAACGTACTAAATTCTGACAATATTGAAAGGGGGAGGGATAATCATTTAAACTCCTGATGATAATTCGGGATTAATCTGAGCTAATATGTTTCTAATTATAAGGTATTGTTATCTATCTGCTCCTTGCTCTGCGATCCCAACCCAGACGATCCTTTAGTTCCAGAGATTGCCCGTCTTTATAAAACTGATATGACTAAAGTAAGAACTTATTACCCATTTTTAAAAATTGATATGTCGAAGGTACGAATTTTAAAACTTATTGCTTTTTTATAAAATTAACATGTGTAAAGTAAGAATTTATAAACTTACTAACTGCAGAGCCCGGCGTTGGCCGTGGAATTTTAATAACATCGAAAAAAATATTTTTAGTCTATTTTACCCCCTGGCTAATTTATTGACAAATTTTATTGCTTATTTTTTAAAAAAAATATGTAGAAAGTAAGAATTAAGAAACTTTAATTCTAAGCTTCATTTTTATAAAACTGATATGTCTAAAGGAAGAAATAAACTTTATTGCTAATATTTATGAAACTGATTTGTAAGAATTTATAACTTGTTTTGCTGATGTGTGGCGAGTGTTATAATTTGTTACAATATTTCAGATGATTTCGGATTACTCTTGTTTGTTTTTAACAAAGTTTATCCTTAACCAACTTTAAACAAGAGAAAGTTTATCCGACCAAAACAACCCTAATTTTCTGTAATATAACGTTATAAAGTGTAAAGAAAAGCAAGCATTATTTTCATTCTTCAACCATGTCTAAAAAACTGTATTAAGGATTTCTTTGCATTTTTTCTCCTTGTTAAAAACTTTCTGTTAAAAAGTATCAAAAAGGATAACAGTTTGCCAATTGACTTCCTATTTGCAGTTTTTTTTTCTTTGGAGCATCGAATTTTTTTTCCTTATAGCATCGGAAATCATTCTTCAATATTTATTATATATTTATGTTTAATATTTTATCATTTGTTTAGTATAATGAGAGCGCAAGGGAATGGACTCGAAAGTACGCTATGTGAAATATATCTTTTCCTCATCAGGTATTTCTTTAGTTCATTAGTATTCATTTATTCGTTTATTCTTTAATTTGTTCATTCGTTCATTTGTTCATCCTTTCATTTGTTCATTTGTTTATTCGTTCATTTTTATATTTGTTCATTTGTTCACCCTTTCATTTTTCATTTGTTCATTTGTTCATCCTTTCATTTGTTCATTTGTTAATTCGTTCATTTCTTCATGTTCTAAACTAGTTGTTACTTACTTGTTACTTGTAGAGTAATCCTCAGGGCTCCTTTAGGAACATAGGTGAGGATGCCAGTAGGTCGTCACGGAGTAATGATCTGTCATCCATGTCCTGCTACATAGTGCACTCCACACTCAAATACTCCTTGCACAGATAGATTTTACGTTTATTTTATAGTTCTCCAATGTCGATTGAGTCCAGCTAGGTCCTAAATATGTTTAAAGTCCTTGCCTCTTTTATTTCTACCGGAAGTTTATTCCATTTTGGAACAACACGATTAGAAAAGAAGTTATGCCTGACATCCGTTCTTGATCTTTTTGGTATCTGGTTGTCTTGATATGCTGTATGACGAGTTAACCTGGTAGCATCTACTCCAACCTTGCTGAACCAGTTATCGTGATCCACTCTGTCAATACCCTTCATAATTTTGTAGGTTTGGATTAGGTCAAGTTTGGTTCGTCTGTCCTTCAGTGACAATAAACCTAGTTCATTAAGCTTCTCCTCATAAGTCCTGCCACTTAAACCAGTGATCAGGTTGACCGCCCTACGCCTTACTCTCTCTATTATTTCAATATCCTGCCCAGACCGCAAACTCTAAGTGACAGCGGACAAATTCTTTTTAATATTTTAAACACAAATCGAAATAAAGTAATAGTAGTGAATTTAAAAGCATAAACTGTTTTTACATAATAATTATTTAAACCTTAGACTTTAAAAATTAATCTCTCACTTGAGTTTTTTTTTTTTAATTGTGCAATATTGAATTAATATAAATTAAAATAATATTTTAAAAGCGGGAAACGTTTGAATTGGATCAAACTCCTAATTTCAAGAGTTTTAAGATTAGCTCAAATTCATTATTAATTTTCATCGTAGGAAGTCTAGGATGTTAGAAAAGATATTCAAATTCAACAAAGATAGTTTTTTTTTGGATTTTATCGTGTTTGTAGGAAAATAGGTTTATTTTTATAAATCCAGAGCACGTATTAATATTTTAATGTAAAAATGTTTTAAAAATATTGAGATACAAAAATGTTGGAAAAAAAATTATATTTGTTGATGAATTGTGAGCATTTTGTAAACAGAACTAAAAGTAAAATCTGTATATTCTTAGGTTGGATTGTTCTTGCCTGACAAACCACGCCTGATGGAAGAAAACAAGAAATATAAAGTGGACAGCCTTTCCACGTCCAAACATAATGTGCATTTTCTCAGTTTAATTCTTCAAACCCTCGTCCAGCTTTTAGTAAATTAGTAATTTTTCGGTTTTATTCCTAATAACTTTCACATTTGACAGTGATTCTGTATTTTTAACTTTTCATTTTCCTTTTCGATTTTACCCATCGTGGAATAAGAATAATTTCAATAATTACCAGAAGAAGAATTGGATAGATAGACAAACTGGGACAACAACTTGCTAACTTTTTCACTTGCCCCCACCCCCCAAAAAAAGAAAATATGCGGTTTTTCGATAAGATTTTTTTCTTCACAGAATTTTGGATCAAGCGATCAAACCCTTTTAAAAATGATTGAGGCATGTGGAAAGGGAATTTTTAAGTTAATCAACTTTTCAACATAACACCTTGCTATTCCTCACTTTTAATTTTGCCCTTTATTCCTACTTCTCGTTTTCTTGATTTTCATTTTAAAATTTTTTATTTTTTTTTAAGACAACAATTTAGTTTAATGTACAGTGCACATGTTATTTGTACTGTACTGTACATATTGAATTTATTGTATTGTCTGCTATACAGTGTACATGAAACCACCTGTGTTATGATGTGGTATCTGTACAACTTTTTATATAGTGTCGTAATTTATCCGATTATTATTATGTAAAAGTTATAAACATTTAACTAAAACAGTGTATCTTACCTATTATGCTTAATGCTATTTAAAATGAAATATAACAAAACAAAACCCCAGATTCATTTCAATTATTTTTAATACCCTCCTCCCAGGCTCGGACGGCTGGTTAATTATCATTGTTTTCAATAAAATGAAAGAATTACTTTTTGAATAAACAATCTTGTGATAATTTGTTATCTATCTAGCCACCATTAAACTATTTTTTTTCAGAAATATTCTTGAAATGCCAGATATAAAGGATTTTGTTCCAGAATTAGGCGAGTATAATATAAAGGGACGTTTTTGTAATTTCAAGTGTTCAATTGACACGAAGTAGAATATATCGTGGGTTTTCTAGCTTGCCAAGTAATTATTTCTAACAATTTTACTCTGTTGTTTCTGTAAATAGAAATCCGCAAGTCACAAAGAATCTAAAGTTAAACAAAAAAATTCATAAGAAGAAACCTTGGTAGCTCTCTTAGACAAAGATTTTAAGAGGTACCATTGTGAATAGTATATTCCACTATTATCTATATAATAAAACAAAACATTCGGAGATATATATGTTGCTTAAAGCCGGCCAAACGGCTGGACCGAATGGGCTGAAACTTTTTGTGGACACTAATGGGTGTCCCAGCGGTGTTAAAGGCTAAATAAATATAATTTTTTTCACGAGCAACGCCGGGCCCTTCAGCGAGTTAGTATTATCAACAGTTAACTTACAGACAAAGTACCATGACCTGAGCTCCACGACTTGCCTTGGTCTGTAAATCATGTCGCATCTGACCAAGGGGAGAGGGGGGGGGGCAAAATATACACCCCTGATTTCGAGTGGACCCAGTGCAAAACGCTGGCGTAAAATTTGCCGAGAATATTTTTTAGCACATCATTTTAAAAATCAATAAATTCCATTGTGGAGGAATTTTCTTCACCTGTGCTAGTCAACACATGAGATTTATGTTCTTGGTTGATTTGTTGCCCCTTGGATCTGCAGATCTAAATATTTGTTAGCTCCAGACCCAGAGAGCCTGAACATTTAAATTTTTTTACTTTTGTCATATTCATATTGAGCTTCATTCATTTCTTTATGCAGAACTATTCATTATTACATGTTAACAGAAGGTTTATTCGATATGTTACATATGTAAGTATCACCTCGCTTAAACTTCAAATAGATAATAAAGATATAGAAAGAGTAGGAACTGGATGCAAAAATGAATCTTTTAAGTTTGTAGGTGTTCATTTAGACGAAAATCTTAACTGGAACCATCATCTTAAGGCGGTTAAAAACAAAGCATCCAGTGCAGTTTTTGCTTTGTCAAGTGTAAAAAATATTCTTCCTAGTAATATTAAACTAACCATTTACAACTCATTATTTCGATCATTTATAGAATATGCAATTTCAGCCTGGGGATGTAACAAATGTTCAGAAATGAAACAAATTCACATTTTACAGAAACGAGCAATACGATTAATTGATAACTCAAAAGCCACGTCTCATAGTGATCCTCTTTTCCTTAAGTATAAGATTCTANGGTATTGATGTACTGATATGTTTAGTTGGTCTGGGTATTGATGTACTGATATGTTTAGTTGGTCTGGGTATTGATGTACTGATATGTTTAGTTGGTCTGGGTATTGATGTACTGATATGTTTAGTTGGTCTGGGTATTGATGTACTGATATGTTTAGTTGGTCTGGGTATTGATGTACTGATATGCGGAGGATTGTATACGGCGTACAACAGAACTCTCAGGATAATTAAGGTACTAGTCTTTTACAGCACACTAGCTTGGGAACCCATGGCTTTGTTTTGAAACTTTAACTTTTCCTTCAAAAGTTCACCAACTGAGTTTTAAACCAAACTAGAATATTCCTGTGGTTATAATCGAGTTCCTCAATCAAAATTTGAGACAAATCGGTTAAATCTATATAATAAAACAAGATATTCGTATTTATGTTCCCTATGATGTCGGCCAAATAGCTGGACCGAATGGGCTGAAATTGTTGTGGACACTCATGGGTACCCTGGGGGTTACACAGACTTAATTTTTTTTCCACGGGCAACGCCGGGTCCTTGAGCTAGTGGTTCATTCATCATGATCGGACATACAAACAAAGATAACTACATTATATATAAAGAGCTGGGTAACAAACTTGTGTGTGGAATTGTTATCCAGAGGCCGAATTTAAGGAATTTGAGCCGCGTCTTAAATCTTAGACGCTCAAACATGATTGGTTCCACTTTAAATTGTATTCAGTGTTTGGAGATTTGAGCCGGCACTCAATAGTAACCGGTTTTTGTCGGTTCAGCGACGCAGTTTAAATTCTTTAAATTCGGCCTCAGAACCATGTTGTTTTGAAATAAATATTTTTTTTTATTTCTTTTAGCTTTAATTTTTTCCTGTTTCAGGATTTGTCTTCTGCTCCTGAGCTGAGTATAGAGAGTAATCTGAAAGATCAAATCTCCTCCCACCCTCAAGCTCAGGTTTTTTACTTATATCAGCACTAGGATCCATTTTAAATCCAGATATTGGCTTGTTCCAGAAGTAATTGGATTCAAATTCAGCCATTTTATGATTAATATTTATTAAAGTAAAAATATTTTTTTTACAAAAGAAAACTATTAAATTTTCTCTTTCTTAGGTCATTAATGCGTGTGTTGAGTCAATTATCAATGAATCAATCCCTCTTATCAATTAATCAAGCTACTATCAATAAATCAACCCATCTTATCAATGAATCAATCTCTCTTATCAATGAATCAATCCCTCTTATCAATTAATCAATCTACTATCAATAAATCAACCCATCTTATCAATGAATCAACCCCTCTTATCAATGAATCAATCCCTCTTATCAATTAATCAATCTCCTATCAATGAATCAACCCATCTTATCAATGAATCAACCTCTCTTATCAATGAATCAATCCCTCTTATCAATGAATCAATCTCCTATCAATGAATCAATCCCTCTTATCAATATATCTTTCTCCTATCAATGAATCAACCCATCTTATCAATGAATCAATCTCCTATCAACGAATTAACCCCTCTAATCAATGAATCAATGAATAAACGAATAAATCAGCTCCCCAATTTATGAATTAAATCTGCCCATGAAATCAATGAATGCAAGTATCCGCGTGTACTATGTATGCGATGATGGATCTATAAGACTACCCTATGCCCTGATAAAAGGAAATGTATCTGCGTGTACTATGTATGCGAGGATGGATCTATAAGACTACCCTATGCCCTGGTAAAAGGAAATGTATCTGCGTGTATTATGTATGCGAGGATGGATCTATAAGACTACACTATGCCCTGGTAAAAGGAAATGTATCCACGTGCACTAGGTATGCGAGGATGGATCTATAAGACTACCCTATGCCCTGGTAAAAGGAAATGTATCTGCACTGGGGAAAACTGTATCTTCAGCCTACGCTCCCGAAATAGTAAGGATTATTTTTTCAGTGATTTGGGGATTTTTTTCAAATGTATCTAAGATAATAAGATTGGCATGTAAAATTCACAACGGTACACTAGAAAGACTCTAAATGATCAAGAATGAATTAAATAAAAAGAAATAAATGTCCCTTATTTTTAATCTTGATTCACTTGATATTCGTAATTATTGAATATAATATACTTGTATATTAATGTGATATATGCACCCTTATGAATATCATGACAACAATCGGAAATTTTCTTATATACTCCGCCAGGAGTCCTGAAAATAATCCTAACGTAAACACAATCAAGTTTATAACTTTTGGAAATGATCATTTTCAATTTTGGTTTTTCTCTTAGTGATTTGCGGATTTCTGGTACTGAAACAATTTTTAAAACTAAATACTTAAAAAGCTAGGAAAATAGAAGATAATGCTATCTTCTATTGAGTAGGTAAAGGTTTAGAGGGTTCTGCTGCTAATCGACAAACGCCATGCCCCTCTTTAAATGAAATTACAGTCCCTTTAATTAGCTAATTTTCTTCCTAACTTGGCTTTCATAGGAAAAGCAAAGAAACTGAGTTCATGCCCCCAAACACAAATTTCAAATCCCTATATCTTTGCAACCTGATTATGAACGCCATTTAAATTTGATAATTGAAAATGTTAAATGTCCATGTTCTATGACACCGGGTTGCAAAGATATACGTATTTGAAACTCAAAGTTTGTGGCAAAGTGTTTTTGGGAGGGAACAATTAACAAAACCTATTTTTGATTATATGAAGAGTTATATTAATAGATGACCGGGGTTATTCAACGAGTTGTTTTTACAGAACACAAGCGGAACAGGAGCAGGTAACAAAACCTTAGTTTAACCAACTCTTTCATTGAAAAGAGTGTGCCATCAATGATTCACCACTCTTAACATATAAAAATTATTACCTAGAATGCTGCTGAAGTATTTTTTAAGGAATTTACGTATTAAAGTTATAAGGGAATTGTTTGGATTCTTGTTATTCCTTTACACGGTATTGTAAGTCTTTTTGTGTACGTATTCGTGTACTCCACTTGAGAAATGTGTACTGCATTTTGGAAATAAAAGATGTAAATATCAGTAATCATTAATCAATATCAGAGACAAATTATGATATACGGAAAAATAAACACTCCCTTGCAGTAAACGTTCTGCAGTATAGGAATTTATCGACAACTTAAACGCCACACAGTTACATTTGGTTTACAAAACAATTTCTGCACCGCATATTAATCAATAACAAATGAACTACAGAGCCCAAAACTTAAGCCAGAGTATGAAATCAAGCATCGAAACTACAGTTTCATAAATGGGGTCCGGCAGTTCTGTAGACACCAATATTTTTGTTAGGAACAATTATTTTTCTTTACATTGTCTTTTTGGTTTCTGACTTCTTAAATTAAAATCTACGCAAATGTGAAATGTGTAAACCCCCAAAAACCAAACTCGGGATTTTCGGTCAACAATACTCTCTTAAAATTCCGGCTCTGGTTTAAACTAGTTTATATCTATAGAACTGGTTTAACTTACCCAGCTTAATTTTATTAATTTTATTAATTTTGAAAAAACTGGTTTAACTTTTATTAATTTTGTTAGAACCAGTTCAAACTTGATTATTTTGTTAGAACTGGTTTAAAGTTGGAGAACCGGTTTAAACTTGGAGAACCGGTTTAAACTTGGAGAACCGGTTTAAAATTGATTATTTTGTTAGAACTGGTTTAAGTTTGTTTATTTTGTCAGAACCGGTTTAAGTTTTTTTGTTTTGTTTTTAGAACTGGTTTTTGGATTGATTCGGAGCGTGTTCTTCATCAGTATAATAACGATGCTCCATTCTGTATTATAAATCCACAGGTGATACAAAATTAAAAACTTTACTAACTTAACTTAACTTAAATATAATTATTTTAAATTTTTGAATTAACTTTTTTCACAGGACAGTTCTTTTTCTCTCTCTCGTCCCAGGGTTGAGATATCAGATTGGGTGGATGCGACGAGAATAGATCTTGATACTGGTAATACCACAATTCCTACATGCTAATCCCCCCCTTTTTTCCCCATATGGATTACCTGGAAAATTCTTGCAGTTACAACATACACATTTTTAAACATTTGGCGGTTTTGGAATGCGTTTCAGTATAAACTACCTCTTTGCCATGCGAAATAAATATTAAATTTCACTAATTGTTTTATTCGGAATGGGTTTGACATATTTGCAAAAAATATTCATGTTAATTTGTAGTTTTAGGATATTTACTAATAGCTAATAGTCAGATAAACAAACATGATTAATCTTAACTATTAATTTTTAAACAGTTACACTTTACAGGCTTATTACTTTGTAAGAAGAAACATGAGCAGTAAACACTGAACTGTGAACACTGAATAGTAATCACTGAATAGTGAACACTGAACACTGAACACTGAACACTGAACACTGAACACTGAACACTGAACACTGAACACTGAACACTGAACACTGAACACTGAACACTGAATAGTGAACACAGAAGATTATGTCATAGAAGAGAAAGAAAAAGTTTTCAGACGTGAGAATTATAAACGAAGAAACAAAACCTGAACAGTGAACACTGAACAGTGAACACTGAACAGTGAACACTGAACAGTGAACACTGAACAGTGAACACTGAACAGTGAAACACTGAACAGTGAACACTGAACAGTGAACACTGAACCCCGAACAGCGAACACTGAACACTGAACACTGAACACTGAACACTGAACACTGAACACTGAATAGTGAACACAGAAGATTATGTCATAGAAGAGAAAGAAAAAGTTTTCAGACGTGAGAATTAAAAACGAAGAAACAAAATTATCTTGACCAATAATATATGATAATGTCTTGTACAAACTATTCTTTTTTAAATGGACAAATTGTTTTTGCTATAAAATTCGCTTTTTTGTTCTTTCCAATTCTTAAAATTTTATTCACGTAATCAGCTTCTTCTAATGTGAAGCACAATAATAAAAAAATATGCATTGAATCTATTTTGATTTTGTATTGATAATAGCTTATTTATTAGTTTATGATAAGTTTGAGCAGGGAGCTACAGATATAGGTTCCAATATTCTTGGTTGGGTGGCAGGTAGCTTTTATATATTTTAGTTTGTGGAGACCGATATTTTAGTTTGTGGAGACCGATATTTTAGTTTATGGAGACCGATATTTTAGTTTGTGGAGACCGATATTTTAGTGTGTGGAGACCGACATTTTTAAATGGACTGTAGTGGTAATTTTAAGAGAACCTGAATTAAAAGAAAAGAAAATAATAACATTGTTCGATTCACAATAGTGAACCCTTAACATGATTAGTAATATGGATGATAACGTTGCTTTACTAGCTTGGATTTTGTATAAGTCACTTCAGATCTCGACACGGTTGGTAGGATTTCCAGGATATTTTGATTTGATTTGATTTGATTTGATTTGATTTGATTTGATTTGATTTGATTTGATTTGATTTGATTTGATTTGATTTGATTTGATTTGATTTGATTTGATTTGGAAGGTGTGTAATCCTGCTAATTTCTCTATGGTTCCTGAAGCAAGAAATGTGCAAGTCACTTATGTAAAGAAACCACATGATCAGTTTCATAGTTTTCATAAACAAAAAGAACATGGATATCTTTTTCATACTATGATACTTGAACAGCCATTAGGCTGCAAAGGGTACCGTTGTTTATCAGATATGCCACTCTATTAAAGGAGGGGGACTTTAAATTACGTTTATAATTTCTCGTGATTATTTTTGATTATAACCAAACCCTTTAATCCTATGAAAAAGGTAAAAAGATCTTTTAAACATTCTCATTATTTTAGCAGGGGTCAATCCTGGACTTCTTCGTTGATAGATAGGATCCAGGGGTTTGCATTTTTAGTACTAAATACGCCGCCCTTGAAGATGGAAAATTTAAAGAGAACGGAAAAATTTGACTCTTTCTTGTTCACCCTCTCTTCCCTTTTGATTCATGAAACATTTGAGAAAAAATTAATTTATTGAACGATAAATGCATTGTGAAATGTAAAAGAGACTTTCAGGAAAAATATTATTGTTTTGTTGTAAGAGAGAGAGATGGGGAGGATTAAGTTGTTACTGTTAAAGCTTGTACAATTAATTTTCAATTGTTTTCCAAATTATGATCAACGTATTTTTACCTGTAAATTATACATGAAAAATTTGGGAAAAAATGATTTATTAAACGATAAATGCATTGTGAAATGTAAGAGAGACTTTTAGAAAAAATTTTATTGCTTTTTTGTGAGAGAGAAAGAGGATTAAGGGAGGATTAAGTTATTACTGTTAAACTAATTTTCAATTATTTTCCAAATTATGATTCAATGTATTTTTGCCTGTAAATTATACAATCTTTGTTTCAGGTGACATCCATAAAGGAACTCAAGTAACGGAGAAAATGCTACTCAAGGAAACATTTTCTTAATTTGGAATTTGATTAAAGAGAGTGTTCGCGATAAATGATGGCGGATAAATTATTCAAACTTTGATTAAATGATCATTATTGGCACTGCACTTTTATTCTATCTGAAGTTGTTGTCTAGCAAAATTGACATTAGGTGTCTTTTGCAGTAAAAAAAAAACAAATCCTGTTTTTTGACATAAAAAATTCAAATTTTTCTTTAAAATTTCTGTAAAAATGCAAGATTTTGTTATTTAAAGGGAACTCATCTAACAGCAGTGGGGGAGCTTGTGTATAATCAAACAGGGGTTAAAATGGTCCCACCATCAGGTATTTTATTCTCAAAATTTGACGTATGTTTTAAATCAATGCTTAGGATCCATTTAATTTTCATCCGGATCCAGGTTCTGAACATTTCTTAAAGATTTACTTCTTTTTTTAACAAAAGAAGATTATTCATATTATTTTTTTTTTCTTTTTTTGTTGCTTTTTTATACCTAACTTGATGAACCATTCAGAAATAAAGAAATTTTTGATAATATCTCTCTTTGTTTAACATTTCAGATTAAGAACAAAACGTTTGTTTTGTGCAGTTTTGGTCAATATTTGCCCCTTATATCCGGATCCTTGGATTCGCATATTTTTTCGGATCTGGATCCAAATCTAGGAAGCCAAAATGGTGCGGATTCAGCTAATCTGGATCTTGATCCTAAGCACTGTTTTAAAATGCTCTTAAACAGGGGTGTACTTTCTTAAATAGTCATTGTTGTATCCCCCCCCC